GTTTTAGCCTTTATACTGTAAAATCTTATGAATCAGATAAATATACTGTAAATCATATATTTAATAAAAGTAATATGGGGCAAAACTGTGTAATAACTGTGTCTTTCTATTATTTTAACAATTTCAGTCTTTGAGACATAATTACCCCTTAATTGTTGTGGTTGTTGTTGGACATAAATACTCCATACAGTATGGATAATTAGCGCCCATGGGTTGCTAAGAGAAGAAATTATTATATAAAACAAGTTCATAATGTTTTTGTCTAAAATAAATTTTAAGACAGTTCTGACTATAAAAATTTTAATGTCCTCTTTTCATATCTTATAAACATAATGTTTCAGTGAATTTTACTGCAAGTTTTGTTCATTAATGTGTCATCATGGTGAAAGATTTTATGAAACAAGATGTTCAAAGCTGAATATTTCTCAAAATGTAAAGATTAAGTATGGTTTCTTTTAGTAGACACTGTGTATGTGTTGTTAAATCTAAAAAAATAATAATTTACATCGAACCATTTATTTATTATCGAACCATTAATAAGTTTTGTGCTGCTAGTTCCGAAAATGTTAAGCTGCCGTTTACAAAAATTGCAGAGATTTTTTTTTAAAAACTATTCGTTTTAAAAAATTGCTGTAAATTATTTCGAAGTTTCATATTTTATACTGATATTTCACAAGTTCCTGCCATAGCCATTGGAATTAACACAAAATAAATTACAGTGCACAAAAAATAAACGGACCACCTTCCTAACTTTCCATCCAATGATTGGATCTTCAGGTTCTAAGACTCAGTCTTAATGGTTCAAGGGGGTGACCTCAAATATGCTAATTAATTACTCCAAACGATATTTTTTAAGTTGCAAAATCAGACATAAAAACTTACTGTTTTACGTACTCTTTTTTTCAACTGATTCGAATTTCTGAACCTCAAAATATGGTCCCAATAGTGTGGTCAGGAGAGCGGTCCAAAGTTTTTGATCTATTAATGATTTTATTTTTTACGTATTTCACCATATCTCAACTTATAAAACTAATCGAAATTATCGCACACCATTATAAAATTCGTTTAACCCAAGGTAACTCCGCGCAAAATATGACTTTTATTAAATATTTATTATTTTATTTAATAATAGTCGACAAAATTTTGAATTGTAAGGAATATAAATTTTTACATTATTTTAAATGTCAAAATAGAAGAAATTAGAATTAAACCTGAGAAATCAAATTTTAAACATACGACTAATTCAAAATTCGATTTCTCAGAAACTATTCTGAACCTTTATGACACTAGCGGCCAAAGATCAGACGAATATGATCTCAATTCGGTACTCTCTGATTGTATATACTTAACCTTTAATACGTATATTCTCGAAACACGCGAACTTGGGTAAGCATTTCTTCCGCGGTCCTATAGGGGTTTAAGACAAAAATTTTGTGGCAGATGCAGGATTTTGGCTATGTGGTCATCATTGCGCGCATTTCAATTAATTGCATTTGAAAACTTTTTTTTTCAATAAATTAAAGCATCTTTTTTTAAAAAACAGAACAAAGAAAGCTATGCACTCTTAACTCTTGCCGAATCCTAGAACTCGCAATACAATTAGCTCATTTTGCCAAAGTCTTGTTTAATATCCCAGCTTTTATAATCTTTTCTTTTTAATTTAAATATGTTAGAGATAGTGTCCCAGCTAAATATCGCTTGTCAACTCTCAGAATTGCTTGTGCAGTTGTTTTCAGATCGATGAAAAACCTGATTTTGCTCACTCTATTTACCTATTTGAACCAGGAACCACGATGGAGCAGATTGCTAATAAAACGACAAAATATTGAAGTAGTTCAATATTCGTTCCTTTCTCGCAAACTTACAAAAGTTTGTACATTTAAAATCCTTAAAAATAACTTCGCGTCTATTATTCACTTATATGGTTTGAATTTAATACTTAACTGTTAAACTACATTTTTTCTCACTAAGTATGTATATTTTTCCAAACACAGAACGTCTGCTTAAAAGCACCTAAGAAAAAAAAGAATCTTAGGAAGAATTTGAAATCTCTGTATTTATTTTTAAAAAAATATCGAGCTCCTTGTTTACTTTTCGGGATTATATAAATGAAATTTATCGATAAAACAAACTTTACTATCTTCAAAACTAATTTCATACAGGGCATCTTCATACATGAGAATATGTGGCTGCAAAAACTTTAAATTTTGCTGTATTTCTGGTGGCTGCTCGAATTCTCTCTAGCTTTTTATCGATGGGTGCAAGCTTGTCTGGGAAGTAAAGGTGGTGATTGCGCAATGCTGGGCGCATTGCTACCGTCATCCCACTGTTAATGAAGTTGTGGAGCATGAGCCCCCTGACCTACAAAAAACTGTTTGGGGGAATGCTTTTTTTATTGAATAAAAGTATTTATAGTATATTGAAAACTCGTAAAAAATATTACAATTTAATTTTATAAACTAATTCAAAATTTAAATAAAGACAGTTGTGATTCTTCGGACTTGTCGCTACAAAAAAAAAATCAATATTTATTAACAGTTTTCACTAGGCTGAATTAAAAAGACGGCGCAAATATATATATAAATAAATCAACATTACTATAATGAACTCAAAAGCTAATGTTCTTTTCAATAAGCTTATAATAAATCAAAAATTAGTACTTATGTATAATTCATTAACTCCTATATCTTCAACGTCTTACGATTCAGTATCATATATAACTATATACACACACAGGAAACAATGCTTGGTGTGCCTAAAGCCCCCCTTTTTAGTTCCCTCTCGGTAAATTCAAGAAGACTACTATTTGCAGTCTAATTATTTCCGTATTAAGCTTTTTTATTTATTTTTTGTGACACGGGCCTGACAACCTAGATTTCCTTTCGTGGATTCAATGGTAGCCTCCTCGCTTGACCTTTCATTTCTCGAAGGGTAACCTGAGGATTTCCTGTAAAACAATATGATTGTGTGTATTGAATAGTGATTTAAAAAATTAGGTAAATGCAAACGACTTTCTGGGTTAAGAAAATATTTTTCCCAATCGTTTGCTGAGTATTTAGAAGATAAAAAAATAGTAGGAAATGATAAAATATTTATGTGTTATCTGAAACTTATTGCACAAAGAGGGCGCTGGTTATCTACTCGGAGGATATGTTGGATTGTTCGTACGCCACTGCTATCTTTTTCTTTTCTTAATTTTATCACTGTGGTTGACCAACCGAACAAAGTTTCAGTCCGCTATTTTTTTTCCCCTTTAAAATATCAAAATGCGAACAAATTATGGCAGAATTACACAATGGGAAAGTTTTCCTGCTATAATTAGTGCGTATTTTGTTTTTTTCATCATTTGACATATCATGGTTTATTCTAAGTTAATCCGCATCCCTTTTTATCTAAACTTTAAATTTTAACACTTACCGTCATTTTTTTTTTAAAAAAATACTGACATTTTTTTCCCTTTAAAATATCAAAATATGAACAAATTATGGCAAGATTACATACACAATGGGAACGTTATACTGCAATAATTTGTGTGTATTTTGAAAACAATTTTTTAGTATTTGCATTTTCATGCATTATTCTAAGTTTACCTGAACTCACTTTTCTTAAACTCACTTTTCTCACTTTTCTTGCGATCTCCCTGTTTGGTAATAGTTATTTGTTGTTAAAAAATGCGTGGTGGCTAGCTAGCTTTAACTCAGGCGCAATTCGTTCAATCGTCTGTGTTTTAAAATACCTATGTTGGTGAAACAGAATTTTACCTTGAAAAGTTTCTCCTCTAGTATAGTGTCCTAAAGGGAGGCTACTAGAGTTATAGCTAAAGGCCACAAATTTTTTAACATCCCACTAGCGGCTTATAAAACTTAAGTTTTATAATTATGAGAGTGAAATTGGTGATCGTAATTTTCAAAAAATTTATTAAATGCTTTTTTATAGAGTAGTTAAAATGTTATTTTGCATTTTAATTTGGGAAAACAAAAAAATGATATTTGGTCATGTTTCTAAAAACGAAAAATGTTGTGAAAAACTTAACAGCTTCTCCTAAACAGCTCTCATTTTGTTTAAAGTCTTTCGAACTCATTTTTTGGAACCATTTAGAGAAACAATTTTTTTTATAGGCAAAGTCATAACTTTATTAAGAAAAAAGAAAGTTTTAATTTTTTCTTTCAATTTTTTTTTAAATTTGTATAATTGATGGTTCTTATTGTTATTTAATATTTATATTTTAAGTAAGATTTTTTTGCTGTTGTAAGAACATATTGGTATTTTAATGTTGAATGCAATTAATTTTTTAAAAAATAAAAATTTCAAAAAGTTTTATTTTTTTGATTTTTTGTAAAACGCACTGAGGCGGAATTGAATTTTACAGAAAGTTTCAAGCATTCTGAGTGTATTTCAATTTTAGATAATTTGATATAATTCAGTCCTCAAGTTGCACATCAGTCCCAGCTGTTAATCCAACCCAATGTATTTTTTACCCTGTCTACATTTTAATTCATTAATGCATGACTCGTCCTGCTATTCCTGATAAAAAATATTTTATCCTGACTTTTTGTGAGTGTCCAGAACATCCCATTTTTTATGGATACAAATAGATTTTAAAATAATCTATTTAAATTTTCGATCCATCATCTTTTCATTTTATATAATAATGCTAGTAAACGTCGCAAAATTCGATTGTACAAACTTAAACTGCTCACTAATTATATGCATGGTTCAGGCATATAATCTTACTTGCCAGATTCATTGCTTTAAACGTTTTGGAAATTCAGTCAATTTAAAGAAAGAAAACTCATTAAAAAAATTTCATTATCAAATATTTATGGTGATAAATACAGGATGTTTATTTAACTGTGATTTTCAGCAAATACAGTAACAAATCCTTTTGAAGTGGAGCTATGTAGCTTCACTATTATTGATTCGTCAATCTTAAAAGTGATCAATTCCAAGTAATTGTCGCAAGTATTATTTAATTTGTGATAGAAAAAAATTACAACAGATTGAGTTCATTAAAAAAAATGATAAGCACTTTATTACACACAACATTTCTGATTTTAACTACAACATTTTTACACAAGGTATACATTTAGTCATGTACTCAAGGTATTTCGTAAGAATCACTCTTAATAGCTTTAGAGTCCTATTCAAAAACAGAGTCAAAATTAGGGTTAGGAGTTGCAAATCAATAGTTAAGCAAGGAAAAAAAAACACTATCGACTCACATCTTAAGAAGACAAAACTTTAAAAATATCAAAACTTGTTTGATTTCCGAGGGAAAAAAAGAGATTTGAAAGACTTGCATGTTTCATCAGGCAATCAAACAGGTTTGAATTATCATCAATCCGCTTTTTCCAGTTAAATGATTTCGTTAGCATTTTTTCCTTGCTTTATTAATTTGGGATCCCTATGTTGTATACTCTTTTTGCTTGATTTTTGGCAAGGATTTTAAACATATACTAAGGGTGGTGATAAGTGATTATGGAATATCCTGTATATACATTTTAATTCTAAAATCTCTTACATTTGAAAAAATGTAGGATTTTTTTGAAAAAACTCATCTTATTCTAGTTTTTAGGATTTTTTTAAGAAACCTGAGAAAAAAAACTATTTGAAACTCTTTTTTTTCTCATTCCAACTATTTTTTTTAAAACGAGTCAAATTAAAGTTTAAAGTATTTAAATATGATATAATATTGATATCTTCCTACTCTTAAATTCATAATTCTGAATTCCAACTTATGAATAATACAGTTTTTAAACAAAGTGCAATTTTAAATACATGATTTAGTAATAGCATAATCTTATCAATTTTCAATCGCCTGAATTGAAAGTAATCAACATTTACAATAGTTGAGTTCTAAAAAAAACTAAATTTTCTCTTTTATTATCCCTAAACCTTCAGATTTGAATAATAATCCATTTCAACATAAAAATTTCCACAGTAAAAAATAATGATCATCAATCAGTAACAGAAATCTTTCCGTTTATATTCTCTATAAACAGCACTTGGCAATTTCATGACAATGAGAAATTTAAATTCGTTGGGCACCTTGAGTTTTTAATAAATAGAAATAAAAATAATTTTATATATTTGATAAAAAGAAATTTGTTTGAATCATCGTTTGCTGCGTTCTCAAGAAATCTGGGTTTTTTTTTCACCAAGTTTCACAATTAGTTACTAAGTTAGTCAACAGCTGGAGCTGCTGGTCTTCAAAATAATTAACATTTTCTGCAACAACGCAGTTCAATCTGAAGACAAATTTGGCTCTAAATAGATGCTCTTGCTAATATGATTATCAGTAATAATGGTTTGATATGCAGCAAAAGACATAGTTTTAATTAATTTATTTTTTTCATTTTATTATTTTTTTTTATCAACCAATAAACTTTGTGATTAATTTTGTTTCTTGATGAGAATAAATTGCCTCCTTGAATTAAACTCAGCAAACCGTACATTTATTTTCTTTTTTTCTACAATTGATTTTTTAAATCGTATCCCCAGTATTTATAAACTGTTTCTGAAGAATTACAAATATTAAGATGAAGTTGATTGACAATAAAAATTTGATATGAAATTTCTTTTTTCACAGTTAAATAAAGGCAATGTTTTTTAAAATACGACATCCACGAACAAATAAGAATGGCATATTTAATATTATTTCTGAAGTTAAAATCGAAAGAAATTAAACTCAGTTTAAGTGCGTGTAAAAAGGGCTTCAATTAAGTCAATGGTTTTAATATTAATTTTTTTTACTTAGAGCCTTAAATTTGCATGTTAAAATTAAAAACCTCATTGGAAGCTATCGAGTGTTCCAGATCTAAAATTCTAGATTAGTGGTCCCTAACCCTATAGCTGCAGGCACCATGGTGTCCGCCGCCGATTTGTTTTAGTGTGCCTGCGCACCACAAAGCGACGGTGATAAAATAATTCAGTTATCAATAAAATGCTAAGTAAAAGTATCAATTCCAATTACATGTTTGCTATGAAAAAAGAAATATTAAATGGTGCCCTATGTCTGATCGGTTATTGCTCCTAGGTATAGAAGGAAAAAAAGATTGGGGATTATTTTTTGCATTGATAGAAAAAAAGGAGGACAAGAATTTACAAGGTAGGAGGAGATATTAGCCTTAGAGGAGACATTAAGGTAGAACCCTTTATTTATCATTTAAAAGCACGATATTTTAGGATAATTCTAAATATTTGAATCTTATGTCAACAAGTTTATTGGTTTATAGAAAATATTAGAATATATCATTCTTAAAAATTGTGAAAAATATTTCCTTGTGACTACAATTTGATAAGCTAGTATTTTTAATTAATGAGAATTCTTTGTAAAAACTCAAAAATATGAGGAAATAGAGTTCAACTATGTTGTATATAAGACGGCAAAAATTAAAGTATTGGTGCATAAAAGCTTGATAGCGAGAAAACAGTTGAACTAAATTCATCAGTAAATACTATTTTATATATTGCGAGAATTCGAATTTTAAAATAAAAAATAATTTAATTCTTTATTAGCAGGAGATAAAATTACACTGTAAGTCTATTTTTGGGATAAAACAGACATAGCAAGTAACATTTTACATACATTTCAATATTGGCATTGCATTTGCTCTTATAATTACATTTTACACTTACATTTTATAAAACACTTCATCAATTTCGTTTCCCCTTTGCTGTAGAGTGTTATATGCAGATTTTTACGTAGAGGTGAAATTATTTATAGTTATTGCTTCTTAAATGAGGCGCTAGTATGTTTTACGCTTGTAAACATTGAATTTTTTCAGTGAAGTAAGACAAACTTCAAATAATCTCGCTTCAGTGGAAAAATCTACGTACAGCACATTACTGTTTCTAAGGAGAAACTTGATTGAAATTTTTATAAAATTTAAGTGTAAAATGCTATCATGAATATTATTGGGATAAAAATTCCAAAATGTTAAGTGTCTACTGCATTTGGTCGAGTTTGGTTCAGTCATTATTAAGCCTTAAACACCTCTATTTGAAATATGGCTACCATGCATTTTACTGGTTTATATTGCAACATCAAACTACGGCTCAATTGGAGTGTGTTTAAACGATCTTACATTGAAAGAGTTTTCGGAATCTGTACTATCTTCTCTAGAACGTTGTGGTCTAAGTGTGGCAGCTCGTTTTAAGGAGGAGTTCTTTATGGTTTGAAAAGACCCTGATCTTTCTCTAGGTAAAGTCGTTAAGAAGGAACCATTGTACAAACTAGATCTTTCTGGTTGTGCACCAACATCTAAATATCGAGATCTTTCTTTCCGAGATAAAGCTGAATTATTAAATCTAGAATAAAAACTTTTTCTCCAAATTCTGTCCTGTACAGATTCCTCCTTTTCATCATCGGAAGTGGATGAAGTTCGAAAATAATAGTTTTGGTCTGCACTTGAACCATTCATATGGTTTGAAGTGTCTTCTGATACTGTATTAAAGTCGTTCGTACGTATGCCATTTAAGGTGGAAGAAGGTCGATAATAATAGTTTTGGTCTGCACCTAAACCATTTATATGGTTTGAAATATTTTCTGATGCTGTATTAAAGTCGTTCGTGCGTGTGCCATTTATAGAGGATGAAGTTCGAAAATAATAGTTTTGATCTGCACCTGAACCATTTATATGATTTGAAACATTCTCCGAAACTGCATTAAAGTCGTTTGTACGCATGCAATTTATATTTGACAAATTGAATGAGTCCGAAGATTCTCCTTCCGATAAAAATCGTCTGTCATTACAGTTATTCATTTGAGTTTCTTCTTCGGAAATAATTGGTACATTTCGTTCTAGCTTTCGTGTATCAAAGTATTTTTCGCTAAGATCGGTAGTTAACCAATCTTGTACAAATTGTTTAGGACTAGAATCCATATGGAATGATGCAGGCTCTATTAATTCGTCGTATTCTCCGTAATCTAATGGACTGTTAAATAGTGAAGTATTGAAGTTACTAAAATAAGTTTTTGGAATGTCTTTTAACAATGTTCTTTTTGTGAATGAATTCATTGGATGTCTAAAACTAAATAAATCATCATTATCTGTTTGAAATCTTTGTGAAATGACATTTTTATAACCGTGTGTTTTTAAAGCTTCTAAAAGAGAACCTGAATTTTCTTCTTGGTAATCATTTCTATCCACTTTATAGAGTTCTTTCTCAGCTTCTTGAATTTTCTTTAAAGCCATAAGCTGAAGAAAAGATCCATTGGAAGATTTTTTTTTCAAAATAGGATCTCGTCTATCTAAAGTTTTACTTTTTGATATTTCTCTTTTACGATTGTGAGAGCCTTTCTGTAATAACTTTCTTAAAAATGCAGATTTTGCTTCTTTTAATTCGTAAGCTGGTGTATTACTAAGAATAGCTTCATAAAATGCTTCATTAATTTCGTCGACACTTTTGCTTTTATTATTCAGACAACCTTTATATTGTGACAAATTATATATATTTGGAGAACTTAGGAACTCATTTTTCTCTCGCACATTTAAAATTTTCTTATTCACATACATCATCCATAAGCAGTTCTGAAAATCATCTTTCTTAATTCTGTCCTTTAATGAAATAGAATCTTCTGTTATGGAGCCCAATGTATTTCTCCTCTTAATCTTCTTTTTATTTTGAATTTCTGAGCAGCAATGATTCCCAACTTTAGTTTCAGGTGTTTTATTTCTTAAGTCAGGTTTTAAAATCGTTAAAGAGGATTCCGATGCTAAGCGTTTCAGCTTTTTGTCATTTTGAGTAACAGGTTTATCATGTAAATCCATCCAATTTTGAGTTATTTTTAAATGTAATTCGTTTAAATCTGAACAAGATATATGGAATTCTTCTTGAATTGGATTTTGACTTTCATCGATTTCCGAAGTCTCCTTATGACAAAGCTGTTTGGAATCTTTACTACTAAGTTTATCCATAACTATTTTGGTTAATTCAGATATTTCTGCACTATATTGTGAATTTTGTTCGATATTATTTAATTGATCCACAATTCTTTTGGTTAGTTCAAAGATTTCTTCACTACCTTGTGAATTTTGTTCCATATTATTCAGTTTATCCATAACTCTTTTGGTTAGTTCTGATATTTCTACATTATCTTGTGAATTTTGTTCCATATTACTTAGTTTATCGATAACGTTTTTGGTTAGCTCTAATACTTCTGCGCTCTCCTGTGGAATTTGTTCCATATTGCTTAGTTTATCCATAGCTCTTTTGGTTAATTCTGATATTTTTGCGCTCTCCTGTGAATTTTGTTCTATTTTACTTACTTTGTCCATTATTGTTTTGGTTATTTCTAATATTTCTACCCTCACTTGTGAATTCTGTTCTATATTGCTTAGTTTCTCTATAACTCTTTTGGTTAATTCTGATATCTCTGCACTCTCTTCTAAATTTTGTTCCATATTACTTAGTTTATTCATAAATTCTTTAGTTAGTTTCAATATTTCTGCACTCTCCTGTGTATTTTGTTCCATATTACTTAGCTTATTCATAACTATTTTGGTTTTTTCTAATATTTTTGCATTTTCTCGTGAATTTTCTTCCATAATACTTAGTTCATCGATAACTCTTTTGGTTAGCTCTGATATTTCCGCATTCTCTTGTGAATTTTCCATATTGCTTAGTTTATTCATAAATCTTTTAGTTAGTTCTAATATTTCTGCACTCCGTTGCGAATTTTGTTCGATATTAATTAGTTTATCCATAACTCTTTTGGTTTGTTTAGCTATTTCAGCATTATCTTGTGAATTCTGTTCCATATTTTCTTGATTATCTTTTTCATTTAGTATATCGTGTGATATTTTGTGTAAATTGTTTATATTAGGTATTTGATAACTTTTTAGCAATTTTATTTCATTTTCATAAGTTGAGGCTTCATTAAATGAATCAAGAAATCTAATTTCTTCCGAACGTGACCTTGATATACTAAATATTTCGAGACTGTCTGGCTCAAGAAGAAAATATTTTTCCTTACTTTGATGTCTTTCATGATTGGATGTCTTAACTGATGATAAAAAATTGATTTTCTGACAGTTGTTCAATGAATTTATGAGTCGTTTCTCAAAACAAGTATCGGATACTGTTTCACTGCGTCTTATCCGTCCTTTGCTGTTAATAATTCTTTGTTCGTCAAAAACCAAATCTTGTATTTTCTTTGCTTGAGATTTTAAATATTTCTGAATTCTTAATCTATTTTTTGAATTAGAGCGCACAATCAAATTCATATTTAAAGCTGCCTTTTTAATTTTGTCAATTTTCTTTTCAATTTTTTCTTTATTTTCGGAAACACTAATTGTTGGAAAAATAAAAATTTGTTTTTGCTCACAAACTGTATTTTCTATATAGGATGGATCAAAAGTTGTTGGAATCACAACTTTTCCTGGAGATCTTTCTTGACGTCTTTCTCGAAGCTTACGGGTACTCGAATGCAGTTTATCAAAATTCATAGAAAAAATGCGAGCTATTGTTAAAGCGTGATTTTTTGTTTGGAAGAAAGGGTTAATTTTTTTAATAGTTTCAACTTTTTTCTTTGGTGTTGGGACACGAGGCAAAATATTTTCTTGGTGTAATTCATTCACATGGTTCTTTTCAGAAGATTTGTGAATGGATGTGTTTTCTTTTTGTAGAGGATCGATTGAATTACAGTTGTCAAAATTTTGCTTTGCGCTTAATTTGTTTTGGTAAAAATTGTTGATTCTAGAAGGCAATTTAGGAACAACACTAGTCACTTCGAAAATAGGAATCACATAAGCTGAATCAATTTTCGTTCCGATTTCACCATTTCTCAACCAAACTTTTGGTGTTAGCTTCTTTTTTTCTGTTTCTTTTTCTAATAGGGAAGATTCAACCGCAGTCAAGAGTTTGTTTATTACAAAACGAACATCATAGCTTAATATTTGTTCATATAAATTAGTTTTATCACACACTTTTTGGTCCATTGAAATATTGGTAGAATTTTTTAATACTGAAGTAAGATTTGTTTTTCCGTTACGATTTTCAGGAAGGGTCTTTAAAGGAAAGCCATTTTTTGAAATCTTTTCCAAATATATTTTCGATGCTTCTTTTAAATGATTTTGTGATGCCATTTGTTCCGCTAACTTGAGAAGAGAATCCGTATGACCATCATTTACCCAAGTGTCTTTGCACACATCAGCAATAGAAGCTCGTTTAGATATATCTGGTGTCAATAGTGATCGAATCAAACTACTTGCTCCTGTAAAATATATTTAAATTATTCTTTCATTCACTTCTAACAAAAAGTTCATAAGGGTCCTCCACAAATGATGTTACGTTTTTAGGAGTTGGACAAAACAGAGAGCAACAAGAAGCGTGACTTAATGTTTTGCATAGAAAAAAAAAAGTTTTTGAGAGACGGAAAAAACCCTGGAGTTTCGGAGATAGAAACCAAACTTTTGAAGAATATTGGGAATATTGAAAGCAAATAAAACTAGCTTATATCCAATAGGAATTGAGAGATTAATTTATGCAATATAGTAGCTGCAATGTGCAAAAAAATGTAGCATTTGAGCAGCTTGAAATACTTCAATTTAACTACAATGCTTTTCAATGCATTTCTTCTCAAAATGCTTCACTTTAATAATCTTGCAAAACTTAAAAAAGAAAATAATAATTAATTTTATATTTAATATTTTTTACTTTAGAAATTTATTGAAAAAATTTGTAACTATAATGACTTTGAAGTTAAACATATTCCAAAAAATATTAGTTGAAAATGTATATTATGATAATTAAAAATGTGAATTTCGTATTTGGATACACTGCTAGAGCAATGAATTAAAAAATGACAACAGAATGTTATTTTTCAAAACATATTAACAAAGATTAAGCGAAAAGTTAAAAAGTCTGAAGTCAATCAACTAATAAATCATAATGTTTTTTGCGGAAGGCTTCGGTTATTTCCATTGAAAATCCAGTAATTTTNAAAAAAAAAAAAAAAAAAAAAAAAAAAAAAAAAAAAACAGGTTTGTTCCCGAAAATATATATTTTTTTCATCACATATTTAAGTTTAAAGCTTACATTTACAATTAAAGAAAGCAAATAATTTTTTTTTTTAATTAAGTTTACTTAAAAAAGATAAGAATGCAATATTTTTTAGTAGTTTTGTTTTGTATTGACATTGGTTTTATTTTGTAACGAAAAAAATTGATCATATTGGTTTTTGAACCATAGATATATATTTATGCAATATAGCGTGACATACGATTATGGGGTATGGTGAAATGTGACACTTTGTAGTAACGGGAAGCAAAAATATTGAAAAGAATTATGACATCATTTGTGGAGAACCACTACTGTGTTATCTCTATGGAAATAGGATTTTTCTATAGAGATAATAGAAAACATCAAAACTGGTGGCATATTTTAAATTATACAAAATTTGTACAGAAGTAGTTTGAAGCTTAATTTCTTTCTGAATCACAGCAATTTTGAAAAATACTGAGTTTTTTGAAATCATCGCCCAAAATGAACATTTTTAGAATCTTGTCAAAAATGGAGTTAAAAATTAAGGGTAGTGGCATAACCTACCGAAATCATACGAATTATTACTGAGTGAGCAGGACTGAAAATCTTAGAACCTGTTTAATTGCTGGATGAAACATAGAAAAATAGAAAGGCTGTTATTAACGAAACTGGTTTTAATTTTTTCCCCTTTCCTGCTTCACTTGTCAGATTTCAATATTGTTTTTCTTTCCATCCTTCCATAAAGGTGTTTTTCGAAGCTCTTTCGTCTATGAAAAAAAGCTACAATTTAAGTGATTTAAAAGCTATAATTTTGAACTATATATACCAGTGACTGATATATAATTTTGAACTATATATACCAGTGACTGATGTATAATTTTGAACTATCTATACTAATAGCTGATGTATAATTTTCAACTATATATATACCAGTGACTGATATATAATCTTCAACTATATATACCAGTGATTGATATATAATTTTCAACAATATATATACCAGTGACTGATGTATAATTTTCAGCCATATACATGGAAAATGACATGGTAAAATGTTCTAGAGAAGACCCACCCCGGGCTGTCGTACCAATCAATAAATTTATAGATGGATGATGCCAGCGATGGCAAACGTTATTGAAAAGTGGGTCAAACTTTGTTCATTTTTTTTTTCAAAATACTAACTCGTCTGTCGCTGTGTCAGTGGTGCCACTTGGAAAGGGGATTAGGAAGGTTACCAATTAATTGCAAACGCCGAAAACTTGTTAACTGAAAAATTTGACATTTGACTTTTTTTTTTTTTTTTACTTACACTTTCAAAATCTTCTGAGAATGATTATTTTTCATTCTTGTTTCTTCCAACTGATGGGCAAAAAAAGAGACATCAATAAGTTTTTTTTTAAAAAGTTGATGTCGTGGTATCTTGAACTACCAACTGCACCAGGTACGGGACGTCACACCGTGTGTTGACTTAATATCGAAGATGGAGGAAAAGGCTAATTTCATAACCAACTGTCTTACACAGGTGTAGCAATAGCTATACTCTCTAAAAATAGATACAGCGTCTCAAGGTTTAAATATTTCCCAACTCTCTACACTTTTACCCTCTCTGTTACCATGGTTTCGGCAAATATTCCACTTTCTCCTCGCTTCAGTAAGAAGTTGGAATATACCGGTATGGGAGAAAAACAAGATGTGCCGAACAGAGAGAAAGCGTGGGGAGTGGGGAAATCGCGTAACATTGAGAAGCTGTCCTATTTTCATAGGGTTAAAAAGTGCCAGAATAGCCTGATTGGCAGAGCGTTGAACTCGTGTTAGTGAGAACGGAAGTTCGATTCCAGCCGGCTGAAGAATCCCGTGTATTAAATGGTGACTGATGCACATTAAATCTGTCGAGGTTACAAAGTCCGCCAAGTTCCCACAACAGATAAATACCCTTAGGGGTACTGATCCAGGTGTTCCCTTGTCTTCTAGAATGGGTTCAATATTACAAGGCTACGGAATTGAACATTGGTAGTCCTAAACTCAAAATCGGTCACCAGTTCAACGACGGTTATAAAATAAAATAGGGTACAAAGTGAGCTGTGGTAGCTCAGGTGATAGAGAGCTTGCCTCCCAATAAGGTGAACCAGGTTCATATCCCAGTGACAGCTACTCGATACAAATTCTGCACCCGGCTCGCACTGACCACACTGCTCACGTAAAATGTTCTCAGTGGTAAACGGATCATGGGTTAGAGTCTCCTTACCGTCAGGCTAACCGTCGTAGGTTGTCGTGGTTTTCTTCTACATGTAACGTAAATGTGGGTTAGTTCCCTCGAAAAGTTCTCCACTAAGGGAAATTTCTTCTTGATCATAAAATATGATTAATGAAAATTTAAAAACCAAAACATACAAAAAATTGCCTTTTTTGTTATGTAAGGAATTTTTCTTTAGTTTTAGAGAATTTGGAATCGCTATTTTTAATGTTAAATTACAAAATTTTTCTCATTACTTGTTTGAATTTGCACTCCCGAAAAACGCATATATAGAACACTGAAATCAGTTAATACTGGACAAAATCACTGAATAACGAATTGAAAGTTATTTTTTAAATAAAATAGTTTTTTGTTATTTTCGATGTATTTATCTTTGTTTTTTCAAATTTTGATTTGATATTTTTAATGTTTTATTTATTTAAATCTTATACGCATCAAGTGAATCCTTTTATGTAAACTTCAATGTCAACAATAATATTGAACCAAATGTTAAATATTTTAAATACTTTTTTTAATTTTAAAAATTTATTTATTCATTATTGTTATCGTCACAAACGAAAAATCATTCTAATAGTTAATAACCAACTGTCTAAGATTCTTGTTGAAATCAACCTTTGATGATTTCATTTGGACGGAATTCGACAAAAAACCAGTTCTTGAATATCAAAGACACGCTAAGTTACTGGGAGTGGAAACTTGTTTTCCCGTAGAGATAACACAGTTGTTTGCTCAAATTTTTCTCCAGGAATGCATAAATAAACATCTTAAAAAGTATTCGCGAATATGAATGATTGTTAAATTGGATTCAATTATTTCAAAATCTAACGCGATTGCATTAAAGGCCTCAGCACGGGTTACCATAAGCAAGAATTTTGATCCTTTAGTATGACATCTTTCGTAATTACCACCACTGGGTAACTTAGTATCCCATGACATCTTTCTAATTTTTCATCCACTGCGCAGTTCATGTTCGTTACGTTAAACTACTAAATTGATCCGTGCTGAGGCCTTCTTTCATCTAAGAGGTATTGGTTATACTGGGTGCAATAAAATCAATGATCACAGCTCGGCAATAAAGCTTACCAAAACAAACAATATGGGGTCGGCAAGCAAAGGGCGAGTCGCTAGAGTTGTCCTGTTTGGTGAATTTAAATTACAATGAAGATGAATATTAGTGTCTAAGAATCCTTATAATTGATAACTTTACAACAAGCAGGACAGTGACTCGTAAGCAGGACAGAACTCGGACAGGACAATAAGCAGGACAGGACTCGTAATGGCTCAAGTGAGCCATTTCAAGCTTCAATAAAAGCACATCAGCAACGGGATAAATTAGGCATATGTTAGACGATTTTTGCCACAGCTGAGGTGCTAATTGGACCAGGCAACGCCCTGCTTAGAAATCGCACCTAGAAAAGTCTTGCCAGGTCTGCGGGATTGCTGTTAACAACGTTACATAACACTCCTTGTAAATAGAGTAGGCGTCTCAAGGGCAGCTTTCCCACTCTCTTTCCCCTCTACGTTATCATAGTCCCATGATAGTACGTTTCAGTAAGAAGTTATAATATACTACTATAATATAAAGCAAGCTTTGTCGAAAAAAATGATAATAGAATGGGGAGAGTAGAGAAATCGCGTAACCTCGAGGCACCTTTTCATTTTGCAAAAAAATATAGAGCCCTTCGCCCATTTCATGGTAAAAGTTGTTTGTTTTAATAAGTAGTTGTTAAATTGAGACCATTTATTTTTTAGACCCTATTTCTCATTTTTGTTAATTATAATACGTACACTGGTAGTTACAAACACAAAGTATTAATTAAATTTTCTAAATTTTTCTACAAATAAATTTGAAAGCAAGGAATTTTCTGAATCGATTGAAATATAGTAAGGTGGATATTAGAATTTAATTCATGTCAAAAACACAATAAAACAATCGAAATTTCAAAGCAACTAATGCAATAATTTTTTTTCAATTTTAATTTTCTCAAAATACAACTCTTTCGATACAATGTTTTCTAAAAACTGTTATTAGTACTTGGATTGTAAAGAAATAATTAACATAATGACTGCCACAATTAAACTAAATGCGATGTGACAGGGCAAACCAAAGAATTGGATAGAATGGGGCATTATTATTTCCTCTTACTTGATTATTCTGCATATTCTCCTTTATAAACATCCCTTAAAAAAGACGCTATATAGCGGGAGAAATCCTACATAGCAAATTTTCATTCACCTACTTAAGTAATTTAATATATAAAGTATAAAAAAAATGAGTTCAGGTAATCTTAGAGAAAACTATGAATTTTCAAATGATGAAAAAAAAATTCTAAACAATAGAATGCAAATAAAACTAGGACAAGATCACTTAGGATTACGCAATGAAGAAATTATCATGTAATATTTTGTTTCCATTTTGATAACATTTGTTCAGCATGTGAAAATTCATAGCTTACTTTAAGTCACTCGCTTTTCTCTAAACTTTAAATTTTAAAATTCCAATAGAAGTAACACAGAATTCGTAATGAAAAAATTCTTCCGCGGTATAGCCTGTTCTACCCTTGTACTCTCACTGGTACACCTTCCTTCCTCTCAACACCCTTGTACTCAATGGTTCTATTTAGAGAATTTGCAGATTTTCTCGAATATCTCCAAAAGTTACTGGGCTATGTAAATGAAACTTGGTATGAAGGTATATTGGTAAAACGCAAGCAAAATAGCCATTTAACAGTCGTAATACACTCACATGACCGTGCGAAACAGTCAGAAAACATGAAGGAATCAGTCAGAAAACATGAAGGAATCAGTCAGAAAGCATTGTAGTCAGAAAGCATGAAACGGTGGAATTGAACAAAAAATGGGTTAATCGAGTGTATTTTCCCCTTCCAGCTTACTTATAATGATTTTCACATTGTCATTTCATACAGAAAAAAAGACCCCCCCCCCAAAAAAAGGAAAAAAGGCAGTTTAAGTGTTACTATGGCAACTGATCCTTCAAGCAACGCAGTTCTGATGTTCTGATTGATTGTCCTCCTCAATACGGTTCGGACATGCTCTACGGTTTGAGATCAGTCCAGTTAACCCCTTCAGAACCGTGATGACGTTGGATGAAGAATCCCTGGTTTTCTCCGTTTAAAAGTACGAATCAAAGAGACGCTATGACCCATTTTCCGTCGTCATTGACTCTAACATTTATAATAACAGTAAAATAGGATACACATGTGAGTCAGTAAGTTATTTTTACGATATAATATAAAGTTAGAATCATTAGGATGCAGAATCATTAGGAAGATAGGATGCATATACAGGTTATTCCCAAACTCATATTTCACTAGACTGCAAGTGAAGTCGAGCACTTTACGATAGAACAGTTTAAAGAGGACCGATACCGCGCAACCTCGGTCCCGACGTAGGCTGATCACAGTGGTCACCCACCGCTTACTGACCTCAGCCAGTGATGCTTGACTTCGGTGTTCTACAGGGAACCATGTCTTGCGATCAATCCTGCGTGACTCAATGTGTACATTATAACTTTTAAAAGTTATGTTCTTTGTAATATATCAATCCATCTTCAAACCAAACTTGATTTAAGTCAGTCCAGTGGTGTTTGAAATAAGCGACGAAAACTGAAATTCAACTTTATATTGAACACTAAAGTACCTTTAAAAAGTTAGAACTCCCTTCTTTATAGTAAGTTCGACCGTGGTTTGTTAACATTTTTAAAAAACTGTATATCTTGCTATTTATTAAAAAATGAATTTCTTAAATTGTAATTTCGAAAAAGAGATTAACAATTAAACTACTTAAGTTTTTATTAGGTATGTTTTTAATAGTTATGCTTATTAATTTTATTTTTATTGTTTATTTTTTAAAATGTGTATTATGGATTTGGGAATGATATCTTTTCGTAATTAATCTGTTACACCAACTAGTAAACGAATCTTTAAATACGTTTCATACGTTCGATTCACTTTTTAAGAAAAAAAACTTTTTGATCATTCTATTAATATCTATCTTTTTTAATCTCCACTTCTTAAGTGTGTTTTTCGAAGCTTCACGCAAAGTAAAATGAAAAAAAAAAAAAAAAAAAAAAAAAAAAAAAAAAAGCAATCACGCAATTTAAGTGCCCTAAACTCAAAGTAAAGCTATAATTTTAAATAATATATGCCACTTTGCCGTGAGGATTTATTTAGAGTTAAGAATTACCAAATCACTTAAATATTAAAAAAAGATGATAAGCCTTTTAAAATAGCAATTTTTTTTTAAAGATTTTTTTCCCCTAGAAAATGAATTATTAAAATCAATGAATAATTCTTGATTTTTGGTCATTTTTTAGCTCAGACTAAGCAGTTTTGGAGAAGCAATTCAAATATTAACAAATTAGATAACAAGTGCTTTTCATTTTCCGAAAACAGTCGCTTTTTTCGTATTAACATTTTGTACCATTTTCATGATTAGCAAAGAATAGTCGCACTTTATTTAACTAGAGCTGCACAATAAACTCTCCCGTTTCGGTAACCGGACGACCTCTGTGAAAAGTCGATCTCTTTACGGTAGAATAGTTTAACGGGTACCGATACTGCGCCTCCTTAGTCTCTTCGCAGGCTGATCAAAGTGGTCACCCACTCGCTCATTGACCACAACCAGTGATGCTGGACTTGGGGTCTACTGGGCACCATGACTTATCTGTGAGATGATTAGTACAGAAAATGCTTTCTAAAGATGGATAAAAAATTAGTGTAACAGTTATCGACTCGTAGTAGATATAAAAATATAAAATTATTTGATAAAAAACATTACTTTATGTTGTGTCAGATCCTACGAAAATCAACCCGTTCTTTGACAATCGGATTTAAGATTGTTTTTTTAAACATCTGAAAATTATTTCTCAATTGGTTTTCTAAATTTATCTCATTTGAAATAGAACCGAAAATTATAAAAAAGATCTCAAAAAATACACATCGAATTTTAAGATACATAATCTACGATATTTTAGATAGATGTGATACCAAATTAAAAGAGAAAACCTCAGAAGATCCCATTTTTAGTGCCATTAGATATTTTTATTTTATTTTATTTATTTTTTTATTTTTTTACTTGCCATGTGTTTTTTAAAATAATTTCCTTTTGCTCATTTTGTACTTCATTTTTATTTTGTGATTGAGTGCAACCTGAGTAGGTCAAATTTGGATATTTTTTTTTTCTGGAGAATACAACTCTATAATAAAAAAAGGGTTCCTATTTAAGACTTTGAAATTCCACAGTTCCACTCCCTAGAAAAAGGTGAGGGGCTTCATGATTTATAAGTTGAAATGCACTGCAACAGAAAACTTTGCTTTAAGGACTCTCATTACTTATAAGGAAATAGCACACATACAACCACGAAATTTAAGAAGAACCAACGTCTTGAAATAAACGAGATTCGAATATGTACCTATTTTCCATGTAAGATCAACGTGTTGACTTTTAACAGAAATTAGTTTATTTTAAATTGTAAAAGTAAAGTAGAAAAAACTTACTTGATCTATCTACTGGTTCTTCGTATTTCCCTTCAGAAATTTGTGCTACAAGTTCTTTGAAATTTCGACCATCAAATGGCATCGTTCCATATATTAAAGTATACAATAATACTCCCAAGCTCCAACAATCTACCTGCAATAAAATTAGTTAAAGTTATTGTTTCAGCTGCACTGCAAACAGAAATTCAGAGTTTGTCCAAAAGTTTATGTCACTGAATCGATTAAAAACCATTTGTAATTCGGATCAGCGTAACACTTAAAAATGTTCCAAATTAGGCTTTTCATTCGTCGATACTTCTCTTTCAACGAGAATTTTAGACATCGAAGGATTGGTCAGTCCGGAAACGGCACCACAGTAAGCTTTATCAGGAAGGTCCATTAAGCGGCTACTCAAATGATAGTCTGAACTTAGAGTTCAGTCATACACGTCACATTTTTATCGGAGGTTGTTGTTGATGGCCTGCATGAGTTTCTTTGTTAACTTCTTCATAATCTTTTAAAAAAATACCTGAAACCATTGGTAGATTTGGCATTCTGATAAAAGTCGTCTTAATGAAAGGATAAGTTTCCTCTTCAAGCTTGCCGAGTTTCACTCTAAACTTAATGAAAATTTATTGAACATTCATTTTCAAAGAGAAGTTTTCTGGCATCAAAGCATCACGGTTGACCTTTGAACCCCGGTGAAACTTATACTTTAAATCAAATTTCACGATTTTCAAAAAAATTCGACAAATCAAAATTTTGTCTTTTCATGACAGTTTTCAAGCAAGGAAACAAAAAGTCTGGAAGAACCACCTCAAGATAGTAGAGCGGCAGGTGAATTGTTTGCACCTTTTAATAGTCTAGTAAGTGGGTCGCGGGAGAGGCGAAATTTTCACACAGATTTCTCATCTGCAGTTTGTTCGTCACCATCTCGTGAGTGGTATTTTCTGGAATGTCAAAATCGATGCCATGAAACGAACACTAACTCAAGCGACTGTCTGAGTTAACGAATTCATTCACACGCTTCACGTTTTCATCCGTGGTGATCACTGACGACTTATTGTATGTTCTATTGCTGATTTCTTCTTAAAAACCTTAAAAAATGCATTGGGCCACTGATAAACTTGGCGTCCCGGTTAACATTGCAAATTATTATTTATCATCAATGGCAAACTTTATCATGGGAAACGTTTCAACTGTGGAATTTCTTAGCCATAACATAGCCTGTCGACAATCTACCAAACATTGCATGATAGCTTGCATTAGAGACGAATACAAGTGTCACTGAAATGACTGTTCCTACAATCAAGATTTTCGAAAATGGCTAAATCATCACCCAGTACGAGCAAACAGTTACGTGCGTGTGCTTAACAGTAAAACCAGTGACATTACTTTCTAGACACTTTGCATAGGTCATTTCTATCCCGTCCGTGATACGATTGCTGCATTTTAAAAAGCAAAAATGGATTTTAAAAAAAGTGTTCATACAATCTTTTTCAAAAAGGGACTTGTGTTTTGTGAAAGGTGTTATTAGGAAAAGTATTATGCTGCAATCGACATTTTGCCATTTGCTTTTGCAGTAAGAAGGACCAAGTTAGCCCCTTTCTTTATACTGCACGTAAAAAGGTTTCCCTCTTCAGAATGTGAGAAAAAGAAATATTAAAATAGACTCTTAAGTTTCTTATCAATCCCCTATAAGATCTTCAGGAAAACATTTGACCAACGAATTGGGAAAAAAATTTGGGATCAGTGCGACAAATAACTAAAAAGGCTTCAGATGTGAATATAGTACTATAGATAACGCAAACAATTAGGGAGCTCATCGAATGATGTAACGAATGCACAATATATCTCTGTACTCTCTTTTTTGCGTAAAGAAGACTCTTGGCGTCATTGACACGTCTGCTTTAATGAAATGGAATTGAAAAAGCCTATTTTGATATTATTCGAAACCTATACAGAGAGACTACGTAAACAATCAAAATCTATTAACAGGAAGGAGACAAACTATCTTCTACTCGACATAAAAAGACATATCATTGAAATTATACATTCTGGACAATTCCAGTGAATTATTTGGCCACCTTGATTTACCGAGATAAATCCCATCGAACGTTTATGGGATACAATCGAGAGGTCAGCTCATGACCTACAAGAGACTTAAAACTACTTGTTGAGTTCATGCCACATATATAACATGCCACAAACATATTTTAAAAAATTCTTAAAAAGCCGGAAAACAAAATAATGAAAAGATATAATCTCTTCATCAGCTCACACGATTATATCCGCAAAAAGGAGTGCTTTCTAATATTGTATCAACAATATAACCAAAGCAAAATATATCAATACAATAGCGTAAGGAGCACTCAAAAAATTTTTAACGAAAATAGAATACATTAAGTAAAGAAAAAATCTTAATCTTAAAATTATTAAAGCTTATTTAATTTTCTTAATTTTCTTCGTTTTTTTTTCTCTTATCTTTTTTGTGCTACATATATAGTTGTTCAACATGACTGAGCGTTAGTACAACTGTTCTAACGCTATCTCATGTCCATTTTTCAGTTCGGCAATCTTATCGGATTAACGAGAAGAATTGTAAAGATCTTTTTAATAATAAAGAATATCTTACTTCAGGTCCTTTATATGGAGTGCCTTTTACAATTTCTGGAGAAGCATACAGAGGACTCCCACAAAATGTACTCATCCTCCTTCGCTCATCAAAGATATTCGAAAGTCCAAAATCAGCTATCTGAAAGCAAAGAACAATTTAAGGATCCTGTTTGACCACTTGCGGTCCATTGCTTTAGTGGTCAATTTAAGCAAGTGGTAAAGTTTTTATGGGGTTAGTCATTGTTTTTTTTTTTTTATCATTTCTTACATGAATCGTGAGAATTTTTATAAGTGTCTTAGATGTTACCAATCAAAGTATAGATAAAATTTATTAAGTTTTTCAACGTGACTTTAAAGTTTTTAGCAAATACTCCATATATTTTATGAATTACAATTCATTACATAAATGTAACGCTAAACTGATTAGTTTAAAAAAACATGCACGTATTGTTTGTGGTACATGCAAATTACTAATCATGAATAATTTCTTAAATTATTAGTACACAATTAGAAAAAACTTAACATTGTATTTATTTAGACATGTAAGATTCAATTGGTTAAGCTGTTTGGAACCAATTTTTGTAAAAATAAAATATAAATAGTTTTCGGATTTTATAAACTTACAAAGGTTACCTTTTAACACTTTTTTTTACAGTTTAGTGAAGTTCAAATACATTACAATGAAATTTTCCTGAAAATTTTTTTTTTCCTTTTGTTGTCAAATCATGAAGGGTTTAGAATAGCTTTAAATAAAACTATTAGACAAATTTGATTTCTTTCCAGTGGTCAACAGATAAGATAGAGAGGTGGTCAGATTGCAAAAATTTTGCATCTTTTTCTTATAAAGGATAAATTCGGTTCTTGAAAGTAGAGGTTAACATACAAGACTGATCAACTTGATTTGTTCCATCGGGGCTTAACAATTATTTTCCTTCCCCTACAAATACTAACAACACTAAAATAGAATCTCAGAAAATTAATAAAAAAATTGATAGTTGAAAAATTTTGTCTTTGCAACATTTAGCTTATCGTACAAAAATGGCAAACACATCAAGTCTCAATTTTTGAAATTTCTTCTTTTTTTTGTCACTTACGTCGATTTTTTTTTTATCAGCACGCAGTATTAGATACGTTCAAAACGTTTCCGTTTGAGGGTATATGCAAATGAGAATGTCACCAATTTGGGTACATAAGAACCGCCATCTATAAATAGCATTGGTTTTACTTAATTACTTCGGTATTAGTGTGTTATTAGTTTACCAAAGTGGGTGTAGAAAATGTTGAGAATGGCGACGTTATTGACAAATGTGTTAAAACAAGACCAACTTCATGCTATTATTATTGCCACAGAAAGAGAAAATCCGGTAGACATTGTTTGGGGAATGCGTAGGGAAAACGGCCGAGAAACCACAGTTAGGAAATGGCCCTTATATTTGCCTATAGCTCCCGATTCAACTCAAAATACAAGTCAATCTGAAAGGTAATCTATATCTACAGACAATAACAGGCGGGCAGTTGATGATGAGATGAGAGCGAAAATTGCACATAATAAAGTGGGAGACACTAGAACATTCGCCAAACAGACCTGATCTCTATCCATGCGATTTTCATACGTTTGTTACCCGAAAGAGGTCCATGAAATGGTTGTTGCCGAACGAAAAAGGGCAGTAGGCAGCAGTAGGTATCTTCTTCAGTTATGAAAAAAAATTTACCCAACGTGTATATGGGTGATTCTCCAAAAGCCTAACAATTTCGCGTCTAAACAATGTAATTGGACACGATATTGTTATAGTTGATCGATAGAATGGCCCAGATACACGTTGGGTAATTTACCAACGTGTGTTTATAGGAAATTGTAAATTAATAATTTTTCTTATATGCATGTAAATGCATATAAATAGTCTTAAAAATTATGTCTTAAAAATGTAAAAAGTTTCTATTTTTTAAATTAAGATAAAATTTTTTCCACTCATTTACATGCATATAAAAAAGATTATTAATTTACAATTTCCTAAAATATTTTAAAATTACTAATGAGTCACTCTCCTGGCCTTTCCGTTTTTTTTTTTTTTTTTTTTTTTTTTTTTTTTTTTTTTTTTTTTTTTTTTTTTTACTCTTTGATGCCGATGGAACACCGGAGTCCCTTTATTTATTTTTGTTTTCTGAAGCTCTACTTACAAGCAAAAATATTTTTTGGTGTTTTATAATTATAAAAAAGTATAATCACTAATTAAAAAACGATGTTAGTTTATCGAAATTATATTTGTGCTTAAATATAAAATCCAAAAAAAAAGTAGTTTGAAAGCATGCATTTTTCATTCATATTCAAGATTTTCACAGTAACTGATTTCAAAAATTAAAGAAATATTAATAAATGTTTCTCTTGAATCTAAATAAGTGCAAACTTGAAAAATGTTTCCTTGAAAGCTAGCCGGGTTTGGAAGATATTACTTTTAACGTAAAAAAAGATACCGGTGTTTCATGCTGTATTTCATAACCGTAAATTATTAAAATGGTAAATATAATATTTTTCTCTTATTTTGATCTAAATTAATGCAAAATAGGGAAAAAATTATGAAAAATGAGAAAAAGTATTTTTAAAAAAAATTTTCGACAAAGGGTTAAAGTTATTCAATTTATTTAAAATTTTGCACCACACACTTAAGTAGTATTAATAAAATATAAATATTTGAAGGTGTAAAAAGATATTTTTTTTAATCCACTTTAATTGTTAAAATATTATTTTACTCAGCAAGGTGTATCACTTAAAAGTTGACCGTAATTTTCTAAAATAGTAGAAAAATTCCCTCGCCCAGGATATTATTTTAGGAAAATATGAAAAATTTTTAGTCCTGCTCCTGCATAACTGTTTATTCCCTTTATTCTGTTGGATTGATTGCTTTGAAGATCTGATTTATCTGATGTTCTTATCATAGCTTTGAAGCTCTAAATTGACGTATTTAACAGTTTATGTTGTCATTATGTTGTACAGTGCACAAAAAAGAAATGGACTACCCTGACTAAATTTTGATCTAATGATCGCATTTCCATGTTCTAGGACTCAATCTTAATGGTTTGAGGGGGTGACTTCAAGTATACTAATTAATCAGTGCAGACGATATTTCAAGTTACGAAATCAGACACAAAAACGAATTTTCTCTGAATAAATATTCCTTTTTTTCGACGGATTCAGATTTCTGATCCCCAAAATATAGGGGTAACTGTAATCTGGGAAATATTTTATTTAACAGCAGTAAAAAAAATTGAATTGTAAGGTATACAGTTTTTTACAAAATTTTAAAGTATGCAATTTTACATGGATAACATTAAAATTAAAATTAATAACTTTTTTGCATATTTTGATTTTATTTTTTTAATTTAAACAAAAATATTTCTTTTTTAATTTGAATGTATTCAATTTAGAGCTTAAACAGACAAAATTTAATTACTTTTTCATGCTATTGGATCTGTTCCACGACGCGGCTATTTTGAAACCGGCTCCAAATTTCTTTAACTTTTGAGAAGTTTACGGTTTACAGTAATCGTTTGATGGTAGAATTTTCAATTGATTCAATTCATAATTTTCACGTGGCGTCATTATTCTTTATTTAATAATAATTCTTAGATCAATATTTTAAATGTTTCTATCTGAAAATTAAACTACATTAAAAAAGTTAAATTCAATAAAAACTACATTAAAAAAGTTCAAATTATTAAACTCTTAAAAAATAATAAACTACAATTTATAATTTTTACGAATTTAGGGAACATTCCAACTGAATGTGATTTGATCAATTGTGCAACACGAATGCATAATTCTCAATTTATAAATGTATAATTTATATGAATTTTTATTTTGATGAAAAAGGGCAATGGTGCAGCTTTGGGAAATATTTTGCATCAAAATGAAAAGTTTGTTTTCAAAACATTTGAATTTTACACTAAATAATTTATTTATAACAAAAAAAAACAAGGAAAAATGTCTCCTCTCCTCTTGAAAACAGATAAAACTTTTCAGTTTGTTTACGAACGGCATCGTCAGAATAGTATGAAGTGGCTCCAAAAGCTTCGTACCGGGGAAGTGACAGAATGATTGCTGCATGAAAAATATATATTGGTATATTTCGCACTTATTACTTTATATCATCAATCGTTATATGTATTTCTAAATAATTTCATAAAAATTTTTTAAAATCAACTCCATAACTTTGTTATTTTGAATCCAATCCAGAAGACAAGGGAACTGCTGGGTCAGTCATGGGGAAAAAAGCAGCTTTACTGGAGGACTTATTATGGAAGTCAGACGGAAGTTGTTTTGGCGCTAGATAGAGAGGAAAATTACAAAACTCTTACACGGTTTAACCGATGTCAAAGGTATTCTAACCCATGAGACTGTTAACCACCTGAGAATATTTGACGTCAGCACTGTGGTCAATGCGAGTTGGGAGCAGAGTTCCCATCGGCCAGTCATCACTTGGATTTGAACCTGGATCACCTCATTGGGAGGTGCGCTCTCTATACCCTAAACCAGTAGTCCCCAACCTTTTTGTACCTAAGAGCAAATACCAGAATATTGGTCGAATGGCGGGCACCATTTATTTTTTCAAGATAAATTTATAGTTGGTAGACATAGGTAATATTACACACTACATATAGTGCACAAAAAATTTAATTTTAAAAATTAATTTAACATATGAATATAATTAGTATTAATTTTCTTGTGTAAAATAAATAATTACTAAATTGCTTTCAAAACATATGAAATATAAAAATTATTTATAAAATACAGTCAATGTGGTGTTAGGCATGGCATTTCGCTGGCCAGCGCTAGATAATTGGGAGAATATAATGCTATTTTTAAGAATGGAATTTATTCCTTCAATCATATTCCAGAATTTCTATCTTCGATTCTTCTCGCTTTACTCGAAGAAATTCTGAAACGCATGTTGCTATTACGGTAACGTTTATTTGGTTGGCAAAAGGATTAACAAAAAAGTTATCAAAGGCTCGATGATATTAAATTGTTGAAAGAGCTTTTTAAATTGATCTTTAAGCAATTGGAGGTTGATGACAAATGCTAATAAGTCAATTTCAGTGTCACCTAACATTTTTTTCATGTTTGGAAAATGCACAAGAGACTTCATTTTCAAATGTGATATCCACAAAACTAGCTTAGCTCTGAACGAGTTTATAGCCTTTATCATTTTTGCTTTATGTTTGTCTTTTTCCTGCAGCTCCAAGTTTAAATTATTTAGTTTTTTCCATTATGTCCATTATGAAAGACAAATCTGCTAGCCAAAGAGGATCTCTCAGTTCCAAAAATGTTTGATTTTTGGCTGCAAGATTATTTTTTATTTCTCCAATTAAATGTAGAAATCTATCAAGTACTTTACCATTACTGAACGAGAGTACCTCAATATGTTTTTGCATAGCATAAAATGTGCATAGCATTTATTGGGAAAATGGAAAACTGAAATATTTTATCGTTGGGCACAAGCAGCGGGCGCACCTAGATCGATCGACGGGCGCCATGGTGCCCGCGGGCATAGGGTTGGGGACCCCTGCGTAAACATTTATGACAATTTTATGGTCATAAATATGTTTTGTTTGAGAGGAAAGGATTATTTTAATTGACTTTTGAAGAGTTAAATTTACATTTAAATAGTGTATGATTTGTTTTAACTGATACTTTAATTCATAAAACCTTTTCATAGTTAGGTTTAGAAATTTTTACTTCATTTTGAACTGTGTGATTTAAAATTACAAAATTTGAGCACATTGGCCGAATATTTGAGTAATTAAAATTTGAAAATACTTTGTTCTCAACTTTTCAAATTTTTGATGGTAAAATATTATTTGGCAGCTCTTACCCTAACAAATAAAGATGAATGTAACTTACTACTAATCTTCGATAAGTAAATTTTAAACAGAATTTTTCGACTAATTAAATTAATAATACACAGTGGAGAAACAATAGTGAGCTTGGCCGTTTTATCAGACAAAAAAAAGCATAATTCTTTTTATTAAAAACAAACGTTTGGTATGGCTACGGCACAATAAAAGATTAAATCACAATAGAAATTTAAGAAAACTTTTAAATTGGAATCTTTTGAACTCGAGACCGTGAGGCCAAGACGGAAAAAGAGTTCATTGGATGATACCACCAGAGATCTAACGATACTGTTCGAAAGGCTCACAACGGGCTGTAGTGCAGAATAGGTAAACAAATAAGTACGTATAACTACCAATAAAATCATTCATTTGTTAGATTATAATAAATAGCCTTTGATAATTTTTAGAGTTTCTGTGAATTTCCTTGTTCAAAAGATACTGCCGAGAAGCGTAAATTTGCTTGTGAAAATTAAATAAAGATGGTTAAAAATATATTCAGAAATTCCTTCTGCTCTGGTTTGACGGTTGGGTTCTTTGGGAAAGAAAGATGCCTCTTAAGAATGTCTCGTTTTTTATAGCAATATTTTAGTTATTCCCCTTCACTGCTTTTAAACTGAATCTGTATTTAAAAGCATGACGATTCGTCCACTATTTATTTAGAAATTTCAATTAAAAAAGTCAAAAACTTAAAGCGTCTGGATATGCATTTTTTCAGTAGTACCGATGCTATTTCTTACATGATGGTAACGGAGTTCAAAAATAAATGCGCTCACGTGAAATAAGATGAGACGAAAAAAGATAAAAGAGTGACAGAAAAAGGCGCCAGAGTTTTATTCAAGTGATTTGGCAGGCGAGTTTTCTTTCAAAAGTTCAAACATTTGATTTGTTAAAAAGGACTTTTATCAAGAGAAAACTATGCAACACTCATTGGGGTAGATCACAAAAGAAAATTTTTCTTTGAAAAATAAAAAATAAACAATAAAAAATTAAAAAAAGAAAAAGAAACAGTCATACTGAAAATATATCTCCCAAAACGAGCCTAGAATTTCATTCTTTGACTCGAACATGTCAATTTAAATTTTTTTTTAAAAGAAATGTATAAAATTTTAATTTCAAAACTAAAAAATGAATCATTTTCAATAAAAAGTAGCTGCTACAATATATATATACCCTTCTTTTCGTAACACATTAGAAAACTTTTCCTTCTTAACCCTTTGACTCAGAATTTTAATTAAACAAATTTTTCATATTTTATTTAATATTTTGTATTAATTTAGGTCAAAATAAGAAGGAAATATTATATTTAGCATATTAATAATTTATGGTCATAAAATATAGCATGAAACACCGGTGTCTTTTTCTGCGTTAAAGATAGAATCTTCCAGACACGGCTTACTTCCGAACATTAATTTTCAAATTAGCATTTATTTGCGGTTATTTAGAACCAAGAGAAACAGTAATTCATCATTGAGATTTCTTTATTTTGGAAAATCATTTGTTGATAAATTTTTGAATATGATTGGGGAAGAAAAAGAAAATATCGAACTAGTTTTTTTTTTTTTCATATTTTATTACAAATATATTTCGGATAATCTAATAGATTTTTTAGTAATTATAAGACTATTTTTTATAATTAAAAATTACCAAAATATATTTTTACTTGTAATTAAAGCGTCAGAAAGAAATATATAAATGGGACACCGGTGTCCCACCTCTGACAATGGGCTAAACCAACAAAACCTTTTTATTACTTTCATTTACAAAAAAAATGTTCCATATGACCTTCTAAAATATGTTTAAAAAAATCCTTATCGAAGATAAAAATTTAAAAACATACATACATTTATCATTTCATTTATTTTAAATATTGACTACCGGAAACACTTATTACTTTTCAAATAACAATTCAATTAAGAGAAAAAATTATAAAGAAACAGTTTTAAATCATGTTAGAGCAATTTACCAAATAGAGTTAATCACAAAATTTAGTAAGTAGCACTCCTGCCAAAATAGTTAACTCTCGAATGGGGCTGAGAAACTTAAAGTTATGAAAAAATAATTGTTCTAATAGAATATAGATAATGTAATTTTTAGTATTTATTTTGGAAATAGTGCCACACTATACTTGGTTACGTTTTAAAGGTGACAGAGTATACTTACTTTTAAAAAGTTGTGGTATGTGTAACGAAATTGCATTATACAGGATGTTCATTATTGACGACTCTTAATAAATACCTTTAGAATCCTTATGAAAAATAAAGAAAAATTGTTCCCGCCATGAATGGTTGCAAAATAATATTTAAGCTAAAACACAACATCAAAATACAACGAATCATTGCTGAGGAAATCGAGATAAAAAAAACAAAAAAAAAAACTATCTGCTTAGCAAAGGAAGCTGAAAGGAATAGCTGTAGATTAGTAGAGATTAGTAAAAACACCTTCAAATTTTGTTCAACAATCAAAAAAATTTTAGCGTTTAATCTCGACTTCCTTAAAAGTTTTTGTGTTTTCCACTCTTAAATATTCATCTGTAACCCCTAATGTATGAGGTTTTCTTTAAAAAAATTCCTCTTTGATAAGGTTTGTGAATATATAAATTAAATGTCGTCAATGAGGATTCTACAACCTTAATAGGTTTTTGCGTGATAGTCACTTGTATTACAATTAAGTAGGTAACACTATAATTTATCAAACCACATATTTTTAAAAATAAGTGTACTGAATCAAATGTAACCAAGCGTGGCATGAGTATTGTTTTTATTATGTGTGGATTATCTAAAAAGTATTCATGTCACTTACTTCAAGTGAGATGATCTCAAAAGCAAGTTTTCTGTGGCACATAAAAAGAAACAAAACCTTACTATCTAGATTTAAATCAAAGTATACAGCAATATTTCAGCTACTTCTCAGCATATGAACTACCGAAACTGTTAAAATCGTTGCACCGATAGATAATTTTTTGTAGTGTAGTATCTGTCTGCCGTATAGGAATGAAGTCATCATGTCACAGATAACACGTCCAAGAGAAAGCGATGCCTGAATAGTAATTTCTTCATATGCAAGAACAAATGGAGATTTCTAGGTGATGCAGAAGTCTCACTGGGAGGTGTTTGATCAACCACCTTATTGTTCCGATATTGTTCCCAGTGTCTTACGCGTGCCCTATATCTTCTTGCGCGAGAAAAAATTTCAGTCGGGGTATCACTTGCCTATACGCGCGCTGTCAGTTGTGATATGTAGGCTGTATTCTCATGCAGAAGACTGAAACTGGAATATAAAAGTTATCCAACGGTACTATAGGTGTTACAATTTCAGTGTTTCTTTTATTGAGATGTTGATGCGTCTTTTGCAATAAATCTTTTCAAATAATTATATTTTGTTTCTTTTTATAGTAACTTTCTTGTAAAACTTTACTTTGCAAGTATCTCATACAAGTCTTGTTTAATCAACATACATTGCAAGGCATTTCAAAATTACAATTCCTCACTCCGTTATCATGGTTTCGGCAAATCATGCCTTTTCCCCAAGCAAGTATATTCCATCTTCTTATGGAAGTATACTGCCGTAGGTAAAAAGCAAGATTTGCGGAAACCATGGTACTAGGGATGGGAAACTGTCAAGGCTAATGACTTCCAGCAACCTTGCAACTCCTATTCTATTTGCACAGTTCATAACTATTGAGGAAACTTCTCTTTTTTCAAAATTGCTCTAATGAGATTAAAAGCTTTTCATAAACTGTTTTCTTTCTTTACTTAATTGGCTCGTTATTGAAGAGGTAATAATTTTTGTTGTGGGTTAATATTTAAAATAAAGGAAGTATACGAATTAAAAATAAAAAATTATTAGTTTAGTCTAGCTCTAATAATTATTTAAAAAAATAGCTTGAAGTAAAAATAAAAAAGAAGGATAATTACTTGGACATTTCCTTCTTCATCTAGAAGTATATTTTCTAGTTTTATATCTCTATGGCATATTCGATTCTAAAAATATAAATAACTAATTAATATTTTACATGGTTTAAAGACAAATAGATGAAATAAAGCATAAGTAGTAGATACCCTTATTTAATTCCATCCAGCTCTGAATTTTTGAAACAAAAGTGGCACAAAAAAACGTCTCTTTAACACAATATTACATTTAAATGTAGCAAAAGTGAAGGTAAGAAATGATCCATTCCAATAATATATTTTTTCGTTTACAGATCAGAACACAAACTTATTTATTTCAGCTCCGTTTACAAATAATAGTATACGTGAAGAAAAATACAAAAGAAAAACACTTTAACTAATTGATATGAAATAAATAAATAGCAAAATTGACACTGCATTAAGTTTTTCAACAGTCAATGTATTTATTTATCATATAATAAGAAAAGTTCCTAAGTGGATTGATTGTAAGACACAGTTCGCTGTAAAACATAGCATCACTGTTTGCTATCAATGAGCGAGTAGGTAACTTTTTTATCAGGCTACAAAGGGAACGAACGATATCGTAGTATCTCGTTAAATTGCAGTCATCCCTTTAGTAAAGGATCGAAATTGTGGGGACGGTGGTTATCGAATCGGACGCCAATCCGATTCGATAACCAAGCGATATATGTGCTCGAAGAATCTGTGAAATCGAAAGTCCTGTGTTCGGTCTCTGATTAGTACGATAGGTACAAGGATCTGGAGAAAATTTCCTTTCCCTTCTGATTTGTATCTAAATTGAAGAAGTGGCTGCCATCTATCCGTTTCTTTCAGAGCTAAGACACCCTTGTAGTGCTTACTTTCACCCTTGCGGTATTCACTTATCAAAGACCCACCTTTTTAACTTAATTCGCAAAGGCCAGTGACTGGAAGGCCTGGCTTAACGAATTAGAAACAGCAACAACAAAATTGTGATGGCATGCTTTCAGATCATTCTTAGGCATGTTTCTCAGATCACCACTAATGGCCCATTGTGCAGTTCTAATACAGTGCAATTAAAGTAACGTACATATAAAATTATAACAATAGTGAAGGAAAAAATTCCTCAATGCAGAACCTCGTTGAAGAGACAGAGCAAGTCAGTACTCTGAATTTTAAACTTATCCTTATAATTACTTAACCCACTTTGTTTTATGATCGTTATGCACAGTGCGCAAAAAAACGGATCACCCTGAATAACTTTTGATCTAATGATTGGATTTCCACGTTCTTCGACTCAATCTTAATGGTTTGAGAGGGTGATTTCAAATGTGCTTATTAATAAGTGCAGACGATATTTTAAGTTACGAATTCAGACACTAAGACGTACTTTTTTTGAATAAACATGCTATTTTTTTCAGCGGATTTTAGACTTCCAAAATTTAGGGGGTAGCCGAAATCTGAGGAGTATGGTCACAATAGTTTCATCAGGAGAGCAGTCTAAAGTTTGGACCCTTTGATGTTAATTTTCCTTTTTGCGTATTTCGCCATATCTGGAGAACTTTTTAAGTAAATTGAACAATTTGAGTTTTTCTTTTTTTCCTTCTTTTTTTTTCTTTTTCTTTGATGCACTGTACAGCGGTGGGAACCAGCGTGCTATAAGTAAGGAAACTACTGTAGTGACTACATTTTTTCGTAGTTGATAGTGTAACGCACTACTTTTTGAAAAATGTAATTTAATGAATAGTGCGTTACGAAAGAAAAGCTCACTAATAGCTAGATTCCTTGCAACTACTTTTAATGCTAGTTTAGTAACGAAACAAGGTTCAAATGCAAATTAAATATTGTTTCGAATCTAATTGTTATAAATCTTAGACCAGTCCATTAGTAAACTTAATGCATTTCTCTTAGTTTCTTTAAAGATAACTTAAGCTTTAAACGCTCAACGAAATCGCAATCATTTGATAATTTCTAGTATAAAAAATAAAAAATTAAAGGTTGAAAGAAAAATATATAGGAAATAGATTGAATCATAACCCTTATTCGAGGTGTGATTCCATGGCGAATTGGAATCACACTTCAAAATTTTAGAGCTATAAGTTACACCATCAAATTTTGTATTACAACCTCTTAAAATCTTAGCTTTGCACAACGCGATTTTTATTTAGGCGTAAGTAGTTTAGGAGAAAGTAAACTCATAATTGCGAAGAAAATTTAAAAAATGAATTAATTAAACTTAATTATTTTCTAATTATTGCATAAAAAATAATAATTTTGAATTTTTACAGCCTTTACTTTATTGCAAGATATTTCTATATGGTATTTTTTCATTTTTAGGTCATGAAAAAAAATCCTTTAGACTCGAACAAGGTATTTATAAACCATAAAACAGTCCTGCGAAAATCAAATATCTTTCCATTCTTATAACTTTTAATTGTAACTAAAAATTCCGTTCAAGTAGGGCAGGGATGGCGAACCTTTATGCACCAACGTGCCATTTTTTCAAAAAATTGCCGTCAAATTCAAAAAATTGCCGCATTTCAAAAATGTGCCGTCAAATAATTTTGACTTCGAGATTATTGGGAAAATAATAATACTAAATGCTATCAACTCAAAACTCTTTATTTACTATGAAAAAAAAAAGCATTTTGCAATGTGTCAGTTATCAGCGTAATTCAACTTAAAGTAACATCAGTGTGACTTCTGCTGTTGCAGATTAGATGACAAATAACTTATATTAGGTTGTAATGTTAGTTTAAGCAGAACTGCTAAATTTTTTTTACCGGTAATTTATTGTTAGCTTGGTTTTTATGGTCATAAATTGTTTTGTTGGCATTAATTGTTAATTTTTTTGTTAATAATTGTTTATTTATTTTGTTTGCATTTTGTTAATTTATTTTAATTGTTATCACGCTTCATAGTGAACTTTGTGATCGGTGGCGTGCCCGGAATAGTGTGTCGCGTGCCATTGGTTTGCCATCCCTGAACTAGGGTAAAACCAATTATATTGTTAAATAGACAATCTCTTTATAAAGAAAGGTATACATACCGAAAAATAAATTTTAAAGTAAATATTTTTTTAATTAAAACTAATTAAATTATTATTAAAATTAAAATTTTATTATTAAAATTAAGCTTATTAATTATTAATTTTAATTAAATAATTAATTATTAAATTTAATTAATTAATTGGATATTTAAAAATTTGAAATTAAACTTTAATGTGTTTCTGGGTTGTCCAATACACTGAGTTTCGTTTCAGGCGGATGATTGTTTTTGGATTGCATTAAGATGTAGTGAGTATGATATATATTTATTCAAAAATTGGTCATCTTGGATTTTAGGTTAAAGTTTCAATTTGTGTTGGGTTAAAGTTTCAATTGTTCCTGATATTTTTTGTGTGATTAAACTTTTGATGGTATAGTATTATTAGACAGCACAATACCTTTCATAAAAGGTAGAAAATAAAGGGATCGCTTTATTTTATCAGGAGAAATAGCGCTTGATATCTTTTATGATATTTTCCTCAAAACTTTAAAACAATAAAATGATGCAATTTGTAGTTTTGAGTAAGCAATTTTAAAAAACACATTTCTCAAGCTTTAGGTTTTTTTTAAATCTATTTTTATTACAGTTTTAAATGATGAAAACCGATTTGGATGACGCTAAATATTTCTTTTAGCGTTAATTATAATTCTTTTAAAGTTAATTAATAAAAACAGAAATACTTATCGAAAATCTAAAGACAGGCTACTATGAACTATTTCCTTACCTATCAAAAACTACTGCTTGTAGAATTATTTTGTCATATTTTTGTCAGAAAATCTCAAATGCTGATTGAGTGATGACCAAGTATTTCATATGTATCAAAGGATAGTGCCAACTATAGTAAATATCTTTCATCAGTTTATTTGCGAAAATTAAATAAAGAGAATTCCCTCCCCGTCTCCACCCCTTCGACAGTTGAAATCGGTTGGGAGAGGAAGGGGTATTGATGATTGATGATTAATGTTAACTATGAAGTACCCCATTAGCCGATCAACAAAATCTGAGATATCTAATCTTTTTTTCTTGAATTATAAGCAATTTTTTAACGTTTGGCCCATACATGCGGCAGAAATTAATTGAAAGTTATAAGATTTTGCATTCTTCTAAACGACGGGAGTTGATGACTTTTCCACACTTTTTCTAAAATATTTAGATGCTTCGACTTTTTTCAGCCCACCCAACTCAGCAACTCTGTTCCTTGCGAGAAAGAAATAAACGATGGCGAAGAAAAAAAAAGAGTCATTAACTTCTGAATGGCCTCTTACACGAGACTTGATACAGTTCCAAATGCTTAGCATTACAAATAGATGTAGATTATTGTGTCGAATATTTTAACTGAGTGAAAACACTTTCTCTGGAACTTTTCCTGTTTACTTCTTAATTAACCTTTTAGACGAGCTGTTTTAAACTCTATCAAACTTCTAGTTGATACTGTAGTCTATATTTTTTTTTTCAGACTAGACTCAATGCCACCAAAAGAAGTGTTTGATACAGGATCATTGAAAAACAATGCCAGGATTTTGTAACTTCATTGAAAAATAAATTTTAATCTTTCGGAATAACTTTGAAAAGTAGTTAAAGAAAGGATATTCCCTCCTCTAATTAGAACTGTAGTGAAACAATCGTTTCAATCAGAAAAATTGAATCAAATCCCCAACTGAAACGATGCAAATTATTGTGTCGAAGAGTATTCTATATCTATATGTAGAATATTGATGTAGAATATTGTGTTGAATATTTAAACTGTGTAAAGACACTTTTCCTGTTTACTTCTTAATTAACCTTTTAAACTTGCTGCAACACAGATACAGAGCAACTTCAAGTTGATACTGTAGTTTTTATTTATACTCAATGTCACCAAGAGAGTGTTTGCTTAAATACATGGTCATTGACAGAAAACTCAAGGATTTTGTAACGTCATTAGATATTAACTTTTAAACGCTTAAAAATAGCTTTCAAGTGTTATTAGTTCTAACTCTTCTCATTAGAACTGAAATGAAACAATTGCTGCCGTCCAAAAAATCGATCAAAGCCCTAACTGAAACGATGTAGAATATTGGGCCAAAGAATATTAATTATATCGATATGTAGAATATTCTGTAGAATATTATCTCAGATATTTTATCTGCTTTAAAATGCTTTCCTTGGAACTTCTCTTGTTTACTCCTCAATTAACCTTTTTAACGAGCCGTTCTAAACTATATTATATTTCTAGTTGATACAGTAGTCTTGATTGCTTTTTGAAGTCAAACTCAATTTAACCAAAATAAGTGTTTGTTAAAATAGAAATTCATTGAAAGACAATGCCAGGATTTCGTAACTTCATTAAAAATATTTTTAAAATTTCGGAAATAATTCTTATTTCGAAATTTTAAAATTTAGCGAAGAAACTAAGTTTTCCCTCTACTCATTAGAATTGCAGGGAAACAATTTTACTATTTTATAACCGAATATATATACCTATATACATATAACAGTTACATAAATATAACACATGCGTACATATAACCCATACATACTTACTCGGTGATTCAAAACTATCTGTCAAAAATGAAAAGACAAGTAGAGGGGAACAGAATAAGCAAATTTTGTATAGGAATGCAAATGTGAAATGCAACATAAAAGCGCCAGCACGTAAAGCACGTTCACAAGTAAGTGAAAAGACAAGTTAAAGAACAATTTTTTAACTTTTTACTGACAGACAATTTACAATTAAATTAGAAACAATTACAGTCTCGAATATCAACAGCGCTACAAGATTCACAGCTGCAACGTATGGATCGGGACACATTAGCAAAAACGTTTGGTTCACGAACATTTCCAGCGGCAACAGGCGATTGGGTAGCAAGATCATTTTCATTTGTTACGGAACTTACTTTTTATTTGACACCAAATGAATAATTCCAAGCAAATCAAATCTGTTGAACGTGGCGGCCAAGGGACTGGACCTATCCCATGCTGGCCGTAGGCAGCACCTATGTGCTCTCTGATGTTCTTGGAACTAGTTGGGGCTCAATCTTGCTAGAAAAACATTCGTGTGTGAACAGAAAGAGGAACATCGACTAGAAATTTAGGTAAGACTTTTTGTAAGAAGATATTGTTTGTACAGCTAAGCGACTTGGTATAATGTACGGCTATACTAAGCTATTGAGTACGATTCCTTCCCAAACATTATATTTTATTTTATTTTATACCCGGTATTAAACAGTCGTCCCAATTCCGAGCTTAAGACTATTAATGAACTCCGTAGCCTTGCTATTTTAAACTTAGCCCAGAAGACAAGGTACGTCCTGGATTAAGCGTTGGGGCAAACTAGCCTTCGTGGAGGACTTTTTGAGGAAACTAACCCACATTTGCGTTTCATGGAGAGGAGAAAATCTTAAAAACCTTCCACAGTTAGCCCGACGGTCAGGAGATTCTAACCCGTGATCCGTCTACCACTGAGGATATTTTGCGTCAGCACTGCGGTCGTGATAGCCGGGAATAGAATTCGTGTCAAGCAGACAACTCTGAGATTCGAACCCGGGTTTAAATCATTGGGAGACGAATGTTCTATCTCCTGAGACACCACGGCTCTTTCCGAAACATTAGTGGAAAGATTTATTTGTGAGCGGATGTTCTTTTGCCATGTGGATTGTGAATAAAACATCTGTAGGGATTAGATGCAGCGTGGTACTAGTTGATACGCGGAGGATAATCGTAATGCTTGGCAAATGGTACAGATGTATTCTGTGTGCAAGATAGTTACATGGCTCACAATTAACGCATGTCTCAAAAGAGTATCTTTTTATTGTGTCGCTGTAGGAATTCTGGATACCTTCAAAGACACCTGGAAGCACACAATAATAAACTCGTGCTCAACTCCAGATGAAGATTTCATAAGCAGCTCGTCGGGCTACCAAAGTAAGGGAGCCATCCCCTCTGTGAGAGAACGTAATTGTGATGGTACATCTTCGGTTCATCCTCAAGGAGGTTTCCCAGACCATCGCCAAAAGCCCATTGTGCACCTCTAGTGCCATGCAAATAAAGTACTACTACTATTATTTTGCTTTACAACCGTAATTGTAAAGTTGACCCAATTTTGGGTTTACGACTACCAGTGTTCAACGCAGTAGCCTTGTAATTTTGAACCTAATCCAGAAGACAAAGGAACTCCTGGATCAAGTATTGTGAGACATTCGCTTTCGTTGAGGACTTTTTGATGAAACCAACCCACATTTGCATTACATGTAGCGAAAACTTCCCGCGGTTAGCATGACGGCGAGAGGACACTAACCCATGATCCGTCTACCACTGAGGATATTTTGTATCAGCACTGTGATCGGTGCGAGCTGAGTGCGGAATTCGCATTTACCAGCCATCGCTGGGATTCGAACGCGGATCACCTCATTGAAAGGCAAGCGCTCTATGCCCTGACCCGACCATACTACTATTATTACTCGAAAATACTTCAATCAATGGTAAAGATGGCAATAATCTTGTCATTTAGAACGTCGAATGAATCACTCCATTTTTGCATTACGTTCAACCTTGCCATGTCCTTGGGCAACTTTTATGTTCTAAGATGATCTCAGAGAGCTAAAAAAAACTTGTTGTGAAATTTCTAAACGGAATTTTCTAAACTCTCCACTTTACATTGTCAATTTAATATTTAGAGGACAGAAATCCCTCGCAGTGATTCTCAAACAGAAATAAGTTCTATTAAATAATTAGAAAGATAAAGAAGGGAATTTTCGAATGTTTTCTTTTTTTAGAAATTTTTCGACCAGCTTTTTAGCTCTTTGAGGATGCTGGTCAGTTTATTATATATTCTCTTTTGCTAGTGTTGCCAACTTTCTTTTGTGATCACATCTGTTCTGGTTATTATATTAGGTTGGATTGTGTGTAGTTGTATAGTATTTTAATCTGAAATGATTTAGTTTCAAAATAGAACTTACTTTATGACAATAATATATGGCTGATACAATTTGTCGGAATACTCTTCGGGTTTCTTCTTCAGGTAATTTTTCATGACATCTGAGATAATCATATAACTCACCGCCACTTGCATATTGCATAACAAGCACAATTTTCTGTCTAGTTTCAAACACTGAAAAAATAAAATAATATTCCGTTTGAAACACTTTAAAATATTGGAATTACTTAAATCATTATGTTATTCTTTTCCATCGTTTTTCTTTCAAATGTTCTTTTTAAATCATATTTTTAATTTTTGGAAATCTTTAAATGAATATCCGGAGAACGAAAAAAAATCTATAAAATGAGGAATGAATAATTTTAAAAAATCATAGATTTCGTTAATCGGCTTCAGTTACGCTTAAAAGTTACCACTTCGTAACAAAGGCTATTTTATTTTATTTTATTTTATTTATAACCAATGTCGAACAGGTGTCCCATTTCTGGGTTTACGGCTATCAAAGCACAATTACGCAGTCTTGTAGTTTTGATCCCAACCTAGAAGACAAGGAAACTCCTGGAGTTAGCATTGGAACAAACTAGCCAGCGTGTAATACTTTTTAGATAAAACTATCTCGCATTTACTTTTCATAGAAAGGAAATCCACGAAAATTTCCCATGGTTAGCCCAACAGCGAGAAGATTCTAACACATAATCCACCTAACACTGAGGATAGTTTAAGTCAGCACTGTGGTCAGTGCGAATGTAGAGTAGAATTCGTATAGATCAGCCATCACTGGGATTCGAACCTAAGTCACCTGCTGGGAGGCTAGTGCTGTACCCCTTGTGCGACCACACGACTTTAAAAACACTATTTGTACAAAATTTATTATTTCAAGTTAATGTCTTCCACTGGCTAAACAGCGTAGAATTTTTGACAATAAAAGCAAATTTTTGAGCCAAATTCTCTTTTTTTATGCAATAAAAGTATAACCTGTTAACATCCAAAATTCAGTAGAATTTACTCAACATTTTAAAATTTTAAACATATGTTGTTGCTAAGAATTGATAATTTTTAAGTGCTATCAAAAATCGATCAGCAAAATCTATAATTTCTTAAATTTGTTTTTTTACGAATTTTAAACATTTTCCGTCTAACTTTTAAAACTTTCGGTATATTAATATCAATTCAGAATTATGAGACTTAGTCAATTTCTAACTGATGGTCATTAACATTTTTCCGCATCACGAAAATATTGAAGATACTTCGACTTTTTTAGCCAAGCTAATTATTTAGGAACATCTGATTGAAGTTAGAAGAAAAATTATCATAAAAAATTCAATTTTTATAATTTTATTTATATATAATATAAAAAAGCTTGTTTATATTATTTCTTCATCTAAATTCTTTTTCTGAATTCATTATTCAGAAGGAAATTCTTTCTCATAATTAATAATTCACATCCTGCTATACTTTTTTAAAAAAATACCAACTAGAGTTTAACAAGTGATAGCTAGAGCGTTAAAAATTATTCAAGGTAGGTACACAATTATCGGAGAATATATGTGATTTGGTGGGCAAAAGTGTTTAAGTAATTTCCTGAATAAAAACAAGTTGTCCACGGTAATTTTTCTTACATGTGCTAACTATGGCGTACAGATTTTTTTATGTATGCTTTTGACTCTATGAACAATTTTCAAATTTATATCACAGCATAATTTATGGAAAAAAAAGTATAATTCATATTGTTTAGAGGTTATAACATTCTACAGTTTTCTAAAAGTGAATATATTTAAATAAAATTGATGTTAATATTTTGGAGGATTTAAAACAGGATTTAAATGGTATGTAAACAGGTTATGTAAACAGGTTTCGTTCTGAATAATGAATTAAGAAAAAGAAATTAGACAAAGAAAAATAGAAAAAGATTTTTAATACATCTACATAAGTGCAAATTTGAAAAAATATTGTTTGGAAGTGAGCTGTGCTTGGAAAACTTTACCTTTTAACGTAGAAAGCGGCAACGATGTCTTATGTTGTATTTCATAGCCATAAATTATTAAAATGCTAAATATAATACTTTTCGCTTATTTTGTCCTAAATTAATACAAAGTAATGGGGGAAAAAGTGTGTAAAGTATGTTTAAATAATGTTAACTATATTTGTTACGTATTTTGTCATATTTAGTGTCTTTTTTTTTCTTTTTTTTTACAGCGAGTAGTAACTTTTCTATGTGCTCTGTTATTCAGATCAGGTATTCAGGTATATTCAGGTTAGATGACAGTGTACTTTTAAATTGCAAATACATAGTGTGAATAAAAACAGTCGAATAACTTCTCAGTTATAAAGCTTAAAAAATAATTTATTATTAAACTTTATGACCGACTATATGAAGTGTGTGACCAAAACTAGATGAATATCGTGAACTATTTGACTGATTTCGTGAAAATCAGTCGTATAGTTCACGTATTATTAACTTATTTCGTGATATTTATTTCACTACTATCAGAGTTACACTTAGTAAATTTATATAACACTAACAAATAACTATTTCATGTTATTCTCAGAAAAAAATCAGTTGCCTCTAAATTTAGAGATAAATTAACTTGAAAAGGAACTTTATCATTGTTTATTGATTGATAAAAGATATCAACTGAAACAATGCACTTAAGATATCTATTTTACTTTAGAATGAACAGGGAAAACAATTTTGAGATAAAATTATTTCTTAAATTCATTTATTGTCGGTTTTCTAATTTGTGTCATGATATTTAAGTGAACAATTACACTGCCCTGAAAAAAATATTAAGTGCAGACTTAATTTTCGTCTTTCAGTGAAGTAAAATAAATCCGAATATCGTCCCCGCTTTCTACGATCCCCTCCTTTTGTTGGGGAAACCGCCTCCTTTAATCATAATTTTTCGATAGTTTTATGGCCATATATTTGATCTGGAAGGGTTGAAAGGAATATTAGTTTAAAAAATAAAATGTAATATAATATAGAAGGGGATGATTCTAATATCATGGGACAAACTTGAAGGGGAGGTAGGAAGGATTAAGAACTGCTTGGAGCCCATGGTCGGAAATGTCCTCATACGCTGATAGGAATGCTTCCTTATTTTATAGATAAGGAATTGTTACGTCTGACTTTGTTATTTATCTAAGTTATCTTTCTTTTAATGTTTTCTTATAATTATAGTAAAAAATTGTATTTATTCAGTATTAGCTGTTTTATCGTACTTTAATGGTTTTGTGACTAATTGCCAAATTGTTAAATTGAGATAAAGCAACTATTTCTGAGCTTACTTGAATACAATATTTGACAATAAATAATAGAAATCATAAAATTAACATGAAATTATGATAATTTAAATAAATAAAAGTACCGGTATAAAAGGGACTTGTGGAAACAGTTTGTAATAGGAAAATGCCCCCTGCCGCTTATGATGGCATTTTTGGTCATAGGTTTTCGTAAGCTATTCTTAATTCTCATGATGAGGCCCAGGGGATATTTCCGCATCATGATCAGTCAATCCCACTATAATCACCAAGGAGCCAAATGGATTTTAATGGACCCGGATCAGTACTCCCAGAGGTATTGATTTGTTATGGGAACATGGAGGACTTTGCGACTCCACGGATTTAGCGTGCATCAGTCACCATTTACTACACGGGGAGTCTAAACCCGGCTAGGATCGAACCAACGAACTTTTGGACATGAACCCAGTGCTCTACCAACCTGGCTACCCGACCTTTGCGGTCTTCGTCGCGGGCTTTTTTTGATGGAACTAACCCGCATTTCCTTTGCATGGAGAGAGAAACCACGAAAACCACTCATGGTTAGCCTGATTGCAAGGGGATTCGTCTACTACTGAGGATATTGTACGTCAACACTGAGGTCGGTGAAAGCCGGATGCGGAATTCGTATCGACCAGCCATCGCTGGGATTCGAACCCGATTCCCTTCCTTGGAATGCAAACGCTCTATCCCCTGAACCATCACGGCTCCTACGAGTTATATATTCAAGTTGGTCCCCTTCTAGAATGTTTTTTTTTAAAGCTTCTCGCTGGCTGTTGCTCAGAAATCGCCTAGACTTGGCGATTAATCTGCCACAAATCACGATACGAAAATCTCTTCACGTTCCCTACCTCCTATCCAAGTTTGTCCCATGATTTTAGAATCACCCTGTATAATATAGTGTGAAATATTATATTTAATAACTAGGGCTTGGATGTTGAAACTAAATGTTTTTTTATTTTCTGTTGCTGCACTTTTTGCATTATTTTTCCCTGGGTATTACTCATTATTGCTTTGATAATTTTTTGTATTTTTCTGCCTTTTTAATCATTTTGAATGATATTTTACATTTTGATTGATTGCTGCTAGGGAATTAATTTTTATTTATAAATTAGTTTAAATTTTGCATCGAATATTTTGAAGATTTTTAAGTAACAAGCGGGGTTCAATCTTTTAATTTTAAAAATATCAAAAAACATTTGAGAATGCAATACAATTCTGATATTTGAAGAAAATTGTAATTGTTTGATGAAAATTGTAACTTAAAATTCATTAAATTCTTATTATAGTTATTAGGTATTTTTTGACATTTTATTTTATTCATAACTTGCATATTTATTACCTTATTTTTCATTCAATTTATAAATACAAGTTACTATTTATTTAAAAAAGAAAAGAAAAAGAAAATAAGATTTATATGTAACGGATTTCCAAAACTTTTTAAGGTCATTTCAGATCAGTTTAAACACTTTGTTTTCCATTTTAAGGGTATTTCATAAGAGTTTTTAGGTCATTGACATGGAAGCCCTGATAATAACCGTCTTGCAGTGAATCTTGAAAACATTTTTGCGAGAGCTTTTATGACCTCTCCCATTTCTCCCGCTTTTAGTTAAAAGTTGTTGCTAAATATATCTATTATTTAGTGAAGGAGAATTGTGGACTAGAAGCATGTGGGAAATAAGTGAAAAAAGGGCAATTTTCATCATTTTTTCAACAATTCTTTTTTTTTTTTTTTTCTTTGGTGGGGAGCAAGGTCTCATATAATTTCTCTGACGTTATGCAAAGTTCAAAAAAATATCAAAATGCAAAATTATGTGAGATTCCAAGTTAAAAAAAAAGAACATTCTTATAATTGTATATACTGAAATATTTGCTCATTACAAATGATGCAAGGATCATCCCGAAGTAACTTTCCCTCGTTCCCTAAAAAGAAACTCAATTTCCTGCAAAGATATATTGCAAAAGATGAAGCAATATGTCAACTACTTTTCAACATAACAATCACCAGATTTGTAAGATTTGTTTGTATGTCTTTGCCCATGGGAAGTAATTTCTTCGAGTGCAAGAGCGGATGGAATTTACTGGGAGCAAAATCTATACTATAGGATGTATTACCAAACACGTCCCACCAAAAGTTTCGCAACAGATTTTTGTGGAATTCGTTGCATGTGAGAGCCTCAAGTTTCACTTAAAAAGTGTTACAATTCTATTAGTTTTTATGATGTAGCTGATTTATTGTTGTACCTTATGCAATATATAATTCTTGGTAATTAATTTTTTTTTTTTATGGTCGTGAGAAACTTATTTTTCGTAAGGCCTTCAAAATAATTGAACATTACTACAAAAAAACTTAACAATTTTTGCTTCTTCTTGATATTGCAAAAAACTATTTAAGTTCATTTCTAGTAAAAACTATTTTAATCTTTGAAATAAAAAATCTATGCTATCAACTGAAAGCTAACTATGAGTGACAATTAATATAAAAAATGAATTTAAAGTGAAAAAAAATATATTTGATAATAATTTTTGTAGCAAAATTAATTTCTTTTGAAGTATTATGCAATTTTTAGAACCATCCCTGAAACAGAACTGTGGCGATAATAGGTAAGCTTATATTGCCTTTTTAGAACTGTCCCTTAAACAAGACTGAGACACTAATGAGTAAAGTGCTAGAAATGGTAAAGCTTATTATGCGTATTATAATAGTCTCTGAAAGATACTCAGCCACTAATGGGTAAAGTGCTGGAAATGACTAAGCTTATAATGCATTCTTAATAAAGTCTCTAAAATGGTCTCAGACACTAATAGTGAGTTAATTTCATTTAAGTAATTAAAAAAGCGTAAATCTAAATTTTCTGACAAAACTTTCAAAAAAATATGAAAAATTCCTTTAAATCACTAACTAAATTACTGTTATAATATTTTAGTTTGAAATAGATAACAAACCGAGTGTACAAGAAATTTCTTAATAACCATCCTTAATATATAATTTTAAAGTTTTTATAAAATTGAAAACCACAAAATATACACATTGGGTGCCGCAAAATGATATTTAAACAAAAGGGAAAGAAAATCGAACGAAAGCTATAGAGATCTAAAAAACAACTATTGAAGAAGGTGACAATGAAAGTAGAGAGTATAGACTCTTTCAAGTTTACTATGACAATCAAACAGGTTTTGAAATTTTTTGCACACCCACTTTGTTCAATGGTGATTCGATCAGGATTGATCAGAATTCAATAGTGTTTTTTCCTCGACTAAAAATTTATTTGCAACCTCCGATGTATATAGTTTATTGTTTTCATATTTAACACGAATTCTAAAAATGCATATTAGTGGTTGTCGTTACGAAAAAAGTTCTATTTATATCTATAAATTTAATTTCGAGATTAAACATTATTTTTATTGCCACACGCCTAATTTCTTTTAATAAAATCAAACGAAATATAGACCGTGATTTTTGTTTTGTTTTTTTCGTTCCTGACACAGCATAAAATGAGCATGTTCAAAAATTGGATAAAGCTCAAAATGCATGTTTAAGAAAATGGGCACATCAGAAAAATGCGCCATTTCAATGTTTAACTCAAATCTAATAACAAATGGGGAATTTCTAAATTACTTTTCCTTACTTTTTTTAAACACTCGGGGTGGGCCGGGATAGCCTGGTTGTTACGGTGCTAGGCCCAAGTCCAAGAGTTCGTGGGTTCGATCTCCGGCGGCCGAAGACTCCCAGTGTAGAAAATGATGACTAATGCACGTTAAATCTGTCGAGCGAATTACAAAGTCCTACGTGTTCCCATAACAAATCATACGTCTGGGGGTACTGATCCAGGAGTTTCCCTGTCTTCTGGATTGGTTCGAAATTACAAGGCTACTGAGTTGCACATAAGTAGTCGTAAACACAAAATTGAGTGGACTGTTCAACGACGGAAATAAAATAAATTATAAGAAAAACACTACGGGGTTAGGATGTATGTAACCTTACAGGCGATCTTTTCGTATTTAAAGATAAAGTGGTACAACGTCGACCACTGTTATACATTTAACTTTGTAACTGTAAGTCTAATAAAAAAATTTTAAAAAAAGACTTATTTTAAAAAATGTACTATTTAGGCAAATGAACAACATCGTAACATCATATTTAAGTACAGTAGTCTATTCTTTTTTTTAAAAAAAAAGAACAGCTTTTCATAAGAAAAGTTTTCAAAATAGAATCAAATGTTATGTCCATTCTCTCAAATACGTAGTTTCATCTATGTCAATTTTTTTAAACGAACATTTCATTTTCGTTTACAATTATCTTGAGCTATATTTATTTTCTATAATATACACTTTGATTTTCATTAAAAATAAAAAGCTAACTGATGAAAGATTTTTATCAAAATTTTTACATTTACTGCAAAATAAAATGAAATAAGAAATGGTAAATTTAGGCTTTAAATATTGCTTCTACACTCACCTTCGTTAATGTGAATAATATGTGGATGGCGTATAACAGCCATGATTTGAATCTCACGACGAATTCGTAGCATATCTTCTTCATTTTCAATTCTGGCTTTTTTTATGGTTTTAATAGCAACCTAATAAATAAAAAGCAAAGAATATTAATGCATACTTTAACAAGTTAATTGGATAATACTTTACAATACATTGTATAATACTTTATACAAATGATTACTTTAACAAATTAAGCATTTTAACAATTTTTATTTTTAATCATTGATGTAACCATTCTCGTTATCATCAACAACCTTCTGTGCTATCTTGAGTTTACATTTTCCAATTCCAGATTGATGAAAACTAATTAGTTTTTGAACAAAATATCTGCAGATGACATTTTGGATAACATCTAAAACTTACAATTTTTCCCATTCAGAAAATATTGTAGCTATCACAAAAAAAGGAAATCTAATGGCACAATATCGGGTGAATATAATGGGTGAGGCAATACTTCCCACCTGGATGCATAATTTTTTTCCGGAATGAATCGGTAAGATTAGGAAAGATTTCCGAAAAACCACATTTGCAGGAGCTATGCAAATGTTTTTGGTTTTACCCTTGTGAAGCATGCAATGACGAATACTTGTTCTGCTGTTTCCACTATAAATCACAATAATATTAAAATAATCATCATTCAATAAATAATTATAAACTTAAAATATAACTTCGAAGTGCAGAATTAGCTGATAAATGACAAAGGAATATTCAAATGCGCAAAAACGATATTATTCTCGATATTACGATATTATTCGAAAACGATATTATTCCGGTCCCCCTAATTCTTCAACTAAACAACAATGATCAGTCGAGCCCGGATTTTGATACCCTGAAAATTAAAATGCCCTTAATACATAAAGATATTAGAATAAAAAATTAGAATTTCCTAATAATGCAACAAGATTTTCATTTTGCAAAATCATTTTTTACCTAAACTTTCTTATAAAATATTTTTTATAATAAAACATGTATATTAACACAAATAATTATGTAATTTACATTAAAGTTTAAAATTGGTGTTAAAAGCAAAAATAGCAAAAGAATTTGTTTTGATGCACACACATGTACATTGGTTTTCATACTATACATAAGTACTTGTACAGTCGTTGAGGAAATATTTTCCTAACAGTAGCAACGTTTAAGTTTTTAGTTTTGGGTATAAATGTTTTAGTAATATTTCTGAAGATTTCAAAAAATGCCTTTTCTTTTAAGAAAAAAAAACAGAATATTTGACCAAAAACAAATTTTCTAATAAAAATGAGATAGCATCATTATTCAGTTTTATAGAATCCTTGTCAAAAATGAAAATTTGAAAGATTTAGATGGGGCGCAAATTAGTATTTAAACATAAACGCTGTCATCTCAGGAAAAATTGTTTTAATTTCTTAATTGCTTTTTTAAATCATTTTTAATTTGTTTTAATTGTATTGAGTGCTTAATTTTTTCTACACACTGTGCTGTGATCCAAATTTGTAGTTGAAAATCGCTATAAAAGTTGTGTGTTATTTCAAGCTAATACTGAATCGAGCATTCATACACATTTTAAAGGGTGAACTCCAATAGATGAGACACAAAGATCAGAAACTCTGTTCATGAAATATTTTTACCAATTATAGCCTACTTTTAGAAACCGATAGATTTAATCGGCAATTTGTTTATAATTCGAGAAGATGGAAGTTTGATTTTACCTTGCGATGCTGAACATTCCGCAGAAAAAGTGGTAAACTCTTTTAAAGACATGAATGTTTAGTTGTGTAACAAAAAAAAAAATAAAACACCCGTAAAAAGTTTTACATAAATCTGCCAATTGTATTAAATAATTTTATAATAATTAACTTCCATTTATTTCGGTTTCGAGAAGCCTTGTTCGAATTATATTAATATTCACTCTTTGCTGTGTGTATGTTTGTATTAAATAATTTTATTATAATTAACTTCTATTCATTTCGGTTTTGTTAAGCCTTGTTCGAATCATATTAATATTCTCTCTTTGCTGTGTGTATGTTTGTATTAAATAATTTTATAATAATTAACTTCTATTCATTTCGGTTTTGTTAAGCCATGTTCAAATTCATATTAATATTTTCTCTTTACTGTGTGTATGTTTGATAGTTAAACAAATATTATTTTCAGAAATATTATGTGCATGCATCTTAAATCAATAATTCTTTATATTGTATCGTAAAAATAATTTCACTGAATCTTATGTACATCCTATGCCATAAAAATAAATTTTAGAGTTACTGAAAAGATTAGAGTTACTCAATTTGTCGGGCATAATTCGTCGTGGGACAATTTATCACTCACAATTCGTTGCAGACGCAACTCATCGAGACGATAATTCGTCGTGAGCGCAATTTCTTGTGGTTTCATTTTAAAGAATGTAATTTTAAATGTCAAAATGTAAAGTTTGAACGAAGCAGGTCTAATAGTTCCTGAGAAATCAAATTTTAAAAAGTCACATACGTAAAATTCGCAATCTCAGGAACTAATGGACAGATAGTAAATTATTTGTATACCTTACAATCCAAAACGTTTTAAACTATTATTAAATAAAAATTTTAAAAAATAATAAATAATTATTAAGACCTTTTACATGGAATCACCTTCGGACAAACAAATTTTATAATTATGTGCAAATTTCTTTCTGTTCACTTAGAAAGTTCTTGAGTATTAGCGAAATACGTAAGAAGTAAAATTAACATTAAGGAGTCCAAACTTTCGACTGCTCTCCTTACCACACTATTGAGACCATATTTTATAGATTGCAGCTATCCCTTACCTTTTGGGGATCAGGAATCATAATACGTCGAAAAAGAAGTGTGTTTATTCAGACAAAGTACATTTTTGTGTCTGATTTCGTAATTTATAATGTCTGCACTAATTAATTAGCATATTTGAGTTCACCCCTTAGAACCATTTTGCTTTTTTTTCTGTACACTGTTTACTAGTTTTTTCATACAAAAATTTATTATTCTTTTTAAATAAGAACTCTCACGAATATTTTTTATTTATCATTATTATAACTTTTTTTTCCTAACATATTCTAACATATTGTTTACATAATATTGCATTTACTTATTACATTGCATTACACAATAAATTATAAATATTTTTAATAAATTAATAATTATTTTGATCAATTATATTTGTCAAGAAGTTGGGCACGTGAGTTATCGGGCAAACCAACCTGTCGGGAAAGCGTACTAGTCAGGTAAATAAGTTATCCGGCAATCGAGTTTTCAGGCAACTGAATGTCAAGCGTGTGTACTCGCCCCAAATTTCTAAATCCGTCTATGGTCTGTGGTCACTCCCTATGTTGAAACCGTTGAGAATACTGCAGTAAGAGTAAGCAAATATTCAATTGGTCAGAATGCAGTCCATTTCACGTGTCCTGGTTCACCCTCCGTGTAGCTTTATCTTGAAAAATGAATGACGGATGGTCAGAATGCAATTCATTTCACATGTCCTGGTTCACCCTCTATGTAGCTTTGTCTTGAAAAATGAATGAGTGAAGATCAGAATGTAGTCCAAATCACATGTCCTGGTTCACCTTCTATGTTGCTTTATCTTGAAAAATGAATGAGTGATGTAAAGTTGTTTAAATTCAGTGAATTGAACTAATCTGTTTCCTTTCTTATCTCTTGGTCCAAGGCCAACATTTACAACTTATCTTCACAAGTTTTTCGCTTGCCAACTCCAGCATTAAAATCATTCATTGGGATTGTCAAGCATTGGTTTTTTTTTATTATTTAATAATACTTACTCTTTCATAAATTCATCTACTGCTTCATCAAAGTAACTAGATGTTCAGTAATAATTTTTTTTTCTTTTGCATCCTTTTGGTAAGACTTAACCCCTTGCCGGGGAACAATTGAGTTCTAAAATGTTCCACTCTTTATGATACTTGCATTGTAGTTATTAATTCGTCTGCACTGTAAAACATTTTAGTGTATCTTACAACCAAAACTGACTTCAACTGCTTTAGACCAAAGTGATGTGGTGACACATCATATATAATTCTTGAATCTAGGATTTCACATCAATTTTGTACTTCGAAATATGTATAAAATTAAATTTTTTTAAATGAAGTAAAAATTTTGATCTGTACAATTCAAAAATTAAATTAATATTAAATAATTGTGCTAAAAATATAATTTTCACGAGAGGATGCTTGAATAATGAATTTTAATATTTCTTAGATAGAAAGTCCCAATAATATGAAGAAATAAGTAAAAAGTGAAATTAATATTAAGTGGCGGTTTTAATTGTTTTATGCTGTTGTTACCCAATATCGTGACTGCTCCAAGTTTGAATACGAATAATTTGGACCCAGATGAAAATTATATTATGTACAAAATTAAGTTTGAATGACGAATTTTAATGTTTCTTAAATAGTTCACTGATGTGACGAAATAAGTATATAGCGAAATTAATATTAAGGGGCACATATTTCTTTCCTGGCTTAACAGTTGTGACCCTATATCCCATCTACTTTCTAAGCTAATTTGAAGTTTTGGCAAATTTGTTTTTATTCACTCTTTACCCTAGTTAAATTTTTAGCCATTAATGTCCTAGTAATTTTTATCATCTGTGCTAAAAATATCATTCAACCTTAAAATAATTACTTACAATTTAAAAGTTAAGAACCACTTAAAAGCAAAACCCAGTTTTAGGGCCCCATTTGTCGTAAGTAACCCTCATATGATCGAAGTCAAACATCCAATTCCGTCGAAAAAAAGGACGTTAAATAAGAGAAAATACGCATTCTTGTTTGTTTTTGTAACTTACGATATCATCTGCCCTAAATAAATAAGCATATTTTAGATTAAACCTTTGCATATAAGTATATGAAAATAAACTTACTAGATCAAAAGTTATTAGGTTGCTTTTTTTTCCCTTTTTTTTCTTCAGTTTTGCGCACTATATGCAGGACTGGATTTATCATAAGACTTACGAATCCGGAACCTATCGCTAAATGTTACAAATAGTTTTATTAAGAACCGCGATGGCTCAAGGGATAGAGCGCTCGCCTTCCAATGAGGCAAACCGGGTTTGAATTCCAGTCGATATGAATTCCGCATCCGGCTTGCACCGACCACAGTGCTGACGTGAAATATGCTCAGTGGCAGTTTCTTGAAATAACTANGCTCTCGTGGTCTTCCTCTCCATGCAACGCAAATGCGGGTTAGCTCCATCAAAAAGTCCTCCAAGAAGACAAATTTCTCCCAATACTCGATCCAGGAGTTCCTTTGTCTTCTGGATTGTGTTCAAAATTACAAGGCTACGGAATTGAACATGGATAGTCGTAAACCCATAAAATTGGGTTGGCTGTTCAACGACGGTTATAAAATAAAATAGTTTGATTTATTTTATTTCTTTTATAACTTATAGTCCATTTGAAATACGAGTTAACAAAATTGAAATAAAAAAAGCACAAAGTTACATATGTATTATAATTTACTTATGTTATAACAAGTTTAAAAGCATTTTGTAACTAAGCAACATGTAAATTTGAGGATCAATGGAGCTCCAATAGTTCTGTGCCTATAAGGCCCCAAGATTTTTAAATCAACCCTGACTCTATGCATAAGGCATCCCAGAATAGCTGCAGGTGAGAAAAGAAATTATTTGTAGACAATAAGTCTAGGCTGAGAGATGGGTTTGGTGCATATCGCCAACATGTCATTTCGCTGACACCGTTATCAATTTATTTATTGATGGCATCTCCAAATGCATCATTTTAAACTGAAAAATTATTAATTTAAAAAACGATGTTATGAATAGAAAATTATAGGAACTGGAAATAGTAGGAATTAGAAATTATAAGAATCGGAAATTATATGCTTATTAGTTGGAATTATTGGAATAATTGCAAATTATATTACATTATTATTATAACTAATTTGTTTCGCTTAGAATAAAATTCCCAAGATTAAAAAATTAAATTAAACTTTAGTTTAAAAAAAAAATTGGGCACTGTAAAAACTGTGGTGTAATAGCTTCTGAAATTTGCGATTGAGCAACCCAAACATTTGTGTGAAGGAACACTTTATTTCAAGTTAACACATAATCGATCGATCTTATACACTTCATAGAGTGTATTTTAATTTAAACACTGATAATGCTGACATCAAACTCACGCGCTTTCACACCATTCATGATTTATTTTCACTTCCAAAAACACCAATTTCAGGGTACTTTGGATATCATCAATAGATTGCTTCAAATCGGCGTGAGTTTGTTTTGAGGTTTGGAACGATGCTAGACATCTACAGAAGTAAACATTCTTCATTGAAAAATGTATGTATGTTTGAGTTGTGTAATAAGGATAACTATATTATGATTTTTAAATATCTGTCAATTATATTAAATAACTTAAAGTTATCTGTCAATTATATTAAATAACTATATCAATTATATTAAATAACTTAAAATTATCTGTCAATTATATTAAATAACTTTCGAAAATACACATATTAATGTTACTCTAATGTCTAATTCTAATTTATTTTTCTATTTAATAGAAAAATAACATCTAGAAGTTGGATGGGGTGAAAAAACGACATCAAAAGGGCAGAAGAAAAAGAGCATAGAAATATTCAATAAAAAATATCGAAAAATGTCGATTAAACACCCCTTAAATTTTGAGCAAAAGTCCCCTAATGTCGGATGGGGTGAAAAAACGGCATCAAAAGGGTAAAGAAAAAGGAAATAGAAATATTCAATCAAAATATCGTAAAATGTCGATTAAACACCCCTTAAATTTTAAGCAAAAATCGCTAGATATCGGATGGGGTGAAAAAACGGCGTCAAAGGGGTAGAAGAAAAAGAAAATCGATTGTATTTAAGACCTACATATTATTTAATTTATAATTTGTATAAGAGCTTATTAAGTTAAGTAAGCTAAACCTCTTTCATTCTCTTAGTAGAAATTATTTTCATTTTTAAAAAACGTTTCCACCAATCTCTGTGCATAGGAAAATAATTAATTTAAAAAAATTCAAATATCGTTTTAAAAAAAGTGCAATCCTTTGCCGATAGTGTTTAACAATTTTGATAACGGAATTGACTTACTTCGTTGTTAATAATAATGCTTAACATTTACTCCCTCAATGCCTGATACTTTCTTGTCAATTATACCTAATGCACTAGCAAAACATTTTGTGAAATTCAACATCAAGAATGGTGGCAACTACTTAGCACCAAATTGGTGTTATTAAACACCACCTGGTGTTTTACTAAACCAAAAATGAATTTCGTGGTGTAGTAAAACAACAAGAATGTTCTCTTACACAACTTGGGTAAAGTATCTGCCACCATTTTTGGTATTCAGTAGCATTAATATTTATAACAGTAAGATTTGAAACACGTAAGATTCAGTGAAGTTATTTTTACGGTAATGTGAGAATCATTAATTTGAAATGTATATACACTTCTTCTTAAAATAAAATTAGTTTGTAAATCACACTCAAGTTGTACGGAGAGAACAATAGGACGAATCAGGACAGAACAATGGCGGGTGAAAAACTAAATATTATAAAATTATTAAGTACAGCTGACAGATAATTAAAAACTAAAATATAATTATCCTTATTACACAGCTGAAAACATTTTGTAATGGCGAACTTTTGTTTCTGGAGATATATAACAGCGTTCCGTTACAATTCACATCGACAAACTAACGCCATTTCGAATACTGTAAAAAAATATTCGTGTATCTAAACACCTAAGTGATGTTTCACTAAGTGCTCCGTTACCAAGGACAGTTCCTGGTGGAGTGAAAAACACCTAGAATGTTCCTTTACGCTACTTGTTTTAAATAGTCGTGTTTGTAATTTAATAACACGAAAGATAAGTAAGGATAAGTAAAGATAAGTAAGATATGATACACATAAGAATCAGTAATGTTACTTTTACGATATAGAGTCTAAAGTAAAAATCATAAATTTAAGATGCATGTATACAATATTTCTTAAAATGAAACTAATTTGTCAATCTAACATATACACCTCATAGACAGAATATTAATATGAATTCGAACGAAACTGAAGTTAATAAAAGTTAAATATTATAAATTATTTGAATAAATGACAGATTTATGTAAATCTTATGATATTAGAACTAAAAACCATTCAGGCATTTTATAATTGTTTATATAAGTAGTTTGTCAAATCAATCCGATATGAAGAATGAAATTACTTGGCAAATAATCGACCACGATCAATATTTCTTACCATTCAGGAAAGAGGATTGATTCTTACTTGGTATTAAATAGGCTATGTCGAGTTTGTCCATTTAAGCCGACAAGAAATGTACTTCATGTAAACAAACCGCCATCTTGGCCGCCATAATTTCATTATCTTGAAATTGCACTATTATTCACCTTTAGGCATATAATAACGGTTCAAAAGCATTTGTTATACGTTAAAAACAAGCCAATTTTAATATCATACAAGAATTTAGTTAAATAGCTTAAATATACACTAATTATTCGCCAAATTTGAGCTCCGAAAAAAGGTAAATTTTCCCCCAACGAGCTACAAATTGGTGTCAATCAATTATTGGTGTTGATATTTAACTACACATTTGAAGTGTGTAAGAATGCTTGATTCGGTATTAATTTGAAATAAAGTAATCAATCATTTACACAATTTTTAGAATTTTTTGACACCAAATTCAGATAATTTATTACACCAAAATTTTTACAGTGTACTCGATTGTAAACAATATGCTGACGATATCCTAATAACCCGAAAATTGGTGTTTTTAAAGCAAAAATAATTCATTAATTTCATTTCATTAATAATTACCTAACTTCATTCACATTTAAAATAATTCAAAGCAAAAACAAGTTCAATGATGTGAATAAGCGTAAGT